ACCCCAACCATACCCTTTCATCCCAGCTTGAACCAACGTGAAACCCGTGTTCCTACTCAACCTGAAACCATCACCTCGTGATCCCAGTTTCAAATATCCCCAATTATCCAAACATGTATCACGTTGAGCCCCGCAGTGTCCCCAAGTCGCCGCCGCTCCCGCTGTTTTCTGAGTTGGTGACTCTGATCCCCTTACCTAAGGATTTCCGCATCGTGGTGGCGCCGCCGCTGCCGCCGGTGGACGACGACGCGTTGTTGATGGTGCCGGCGCCGGCGCTGGCGCCGTTTGCGCCGATACCAGCGCCGGCGCTGTCAGGCTACGCCTACCACCACCACCATCACCAACAACAATGCCAACAGGCGCCCCATACTCACCATAACTACGTGGTCAATACTTATAACCCGTACCTGGCGCCCCCACCAGCACTCCCGACGACACTTCCGACGGCGCTCCCGACAGCGATGATGGCGCCCTCAGCAGCGCCCTCAGCGCCCTCAGCGCCATCAGCCGTCGCGTCTAGCGCTACTAGCGCTGTTAGCGTCTCGCGAGTATCGGCGCCCTCAGCGCTGGCGCCGGCGCTGGCGCCGCTGCCGCTCTACCACCATCACCACAACCCCACCACCACTTACCCATTGACCCCCACCACGGAGCTGCCGCCGGAGTACCCGAAGCGCTCGCCGCAGCCGCCAGCGAAACGGCGCTACATGTGCAAAGTGTGCCGGCGCCTGTTCACGACGCTGGGCCACTTGGCGCGCCATAACCGCATCCACACCGGTGAGCGCAACCACACTTGTCCTTGGCCCACTTGCGGCGCCAAGTTCGCCCGCCACGACAACTGTATGCAACACTACCGTATCCACACTAATGGTAAGACCAAGCGACTTGGCCCCTTCAAAGCCCGCGCCAAGCTGGTACACTAGCTGAAACCTCACCTGAAACCTCAGCTGAAACAAATGAGTTTCCACCCAGGAATATTTATTATGAGCTAACGAGAACGATAATTATAGGATTTATAGAGACCGCGATATCCGTCTGAAACAAGACGAAACCTAATCTAATGGAATATAATGAACAAATAATGGGAAACATGATCATGAAGAAATAGGATACAAGATTTGAACCACGCTGAAACCATGAATGATAACCACGTTGGGGACCACCAAAACCCATGTGAGTCTGTCAGTTTGCCTGCCATTCAATAACCATCTTTGTTGTATATTGCTCAGGTCCATTGTTTGCAATATGGGCCCATTTCTTCAAAGAGCCCATTGTGGTTGAAGCAGACAGAGTGTTCTTTGAGGCCACGACTAAGGGAGCAAACAATCACAAGAGAAAATAGAGCGTACGTTTCTGAGGCCATTACCAAGCAAAGCAAAAAATCATAAGAAAACAGTTACCTTAAACTCTGTATTCAAAGAGTGAACTTTGTTATTATGGTTTGAAAGTGCAGAAGATCAACATTGGACAACCCCCCAGGGAACAGGCTATCTCGGCTAACTGACGGGGTAGGAGCACAGCCCCCCGTTAGGGCAGACCGTTTGGCCTCTATCGGCTCGGCAATCGCCGCAGAAACCACCACAAAAGGCTAAAAGGAACCACCGCCGGGGGCCCGTGTGCTCGTGTGAATAATGGCAAAAACAAACTCTAATTGTTTCATGCCATTGCTATGGACGATTGTCGTCATTAGCTGGTTTAGGCAAAAGCCGTGTTTACCCTTGGGACCGCTCGCTCCTGCACTTTGGGCCACCCACCTCTCGTCTAAAGGGAATAAGCTTCGTACGCCTCCCTCCCGCGTTAGACTTTCCCGTCGATCAAAAAGGGTACCACCACCAGCGTATCGAGAAATACGGCAATTAGCTCCTCCAATACTTTGCTTGGCTTACCACACGCGACAATGGCAACGGCGTCAACCTTGATAACCGCAGCAGCTGTTGTCCACCGGCACTGCCCTGCAGGGTGCCACAAGCAAGTATAGCCGGGGAAGCTGGCGTCAACGGCGTCGCTAGATAATCAGCGGGCATCGCCCTGCCATCGGACCCCGCTGGCAACAAATGCGGGAACCAAAACACCACCCGATAACCTCACGAAAAAAACCACCTGATAACCACCAAGTAGAGTTGGCTAAAGGTGGTTATGGTAACAGGAATACCTTGCTTCGGGGATACATTGCTTCGTCAATGTCGCCAGCGGCCGAGCCCCCTGCCCTCTCAGGCCACAAAAACGCCGCCATCGCCCGGGCAATAATAACGCCCGCCGCCAAGCAACTGTAGCCGGGGTCCCTGAGGTTCTCGAAGCCCCCTGGTGACAAAAACGCCCGCGGGGACGGCGCCGGCGCTCGTCTGCCGGCACCCAGCCTCAACCGGCAACGTCGGAAGTTCCAGAACCTAGACAGAGAACTTACAGCTAATAGGCGAAGCAGTGGGTGCCGTTGGGCTCGGTGCCGACCCAGAAGTTGATGCCGCTCATCTGGACGAGGCCCATGTTCACCCGGAAATCGCTATCGCCGCCGTCGTTGAGCATGCGCCCGATGACCTCGTCCTCGGCGTTGTCGCGCTCCAAGTTGACCACCAGCACCACGAGGGTGGTGAGGTAGTGGGCCATGGCTTTGGGCACGCCCTGGTGGTACACGAAGGGCGTCCACAGCGCACACCGGTAGCTCAGGGGCTCGCTGGCGTCGACGTCGTCGTGCTCGAACCCATCGTCGTGGACGTTTCCCGCGTAGCACCGGAAGTCTCGCCCAAACGTGCGGTGGAAGTCCCACACGGCGTCGAGCAAGGGAACGGTGTCGCTGAAGAGCCAGGTGGGCTCACGCACGAGCCGCTGCTTCATTGCCTCGCCCACGGTGCGGAATAGAAGCAGCGAATTGATATCTTTGTAGCCCTTTTGTTGGGGCAGGTAGTAGCGGTGGTGGAGCAAGAACTCGTCGATGACGCCCAAGTACTGGCTGCAGTGGCGGCAGTGGCACCCGTTCCACAACATGTTGTTCATCGCTTGGTCGTAGCACGCCAACAGCGCTAGTAAAGTGGGCATAGACACCGCCACGGGGCCGCGGGCGGCTGATACCACCCGGGCCAAGTGGTGGCCCAAAATGCTCTTGCGGCGTAAGTAATTACCCTCGTAGCCATCCGAGAAGTTTCCATGCTCGGGGACGTCGTGGACGAGGGCCAAGTACTTGAGTTGAGGCAGAGTAGCCACCACCGCCGTCACTAAGCCAAGCACGGCGACGTCGTAGAGCTCGTTGGCGGCGTGGGTATTATACTCAGGGCTCTGCTGGACAATAGCGAGCCGTTTCAAGTTTGGGAGAGGCGGTACCACTTCCAAAACTTCCAGTACCGTATCGGGACCAGCTGTTATGACAAGCTCAAGGGCGCGGATCTGGCGCCAGTTGACGCGGATAAGCAAGTCTCCGGCGTCGTCCACATTATCCAATACCCAGCGGAAGGTGGTGAGATTGCTCATGCTGTCAATGGGCGCTTGGTTGGCCAATTTGGTGAAATTGTCCACTGGTAATACCAAGGTGCGGAGCAGTAGGGGCAATTGCGCCACCTCTAGGCTCAGATCCATCACGTATACTCCCTCAGTAGCATCGTCCACTTGCGGCTGAGTCCATGCCGTAGCCACTTTCGCCTGGGGCAGCTCAAGGCCACCAATATTAGTCGTCGCCACCCACTTAGTCAATGACACTTCCCGCCGCTGAGTGAGGCGATTAAGCTGTTTTAGCAAAGCTTCATCAACGTCAGCATCATCGATATCGACGGTAATCGCCTCAATGTAGCCCGCAAGTGCCGGGTTGATGTCCAACGCCGTATTTAGCACCAGCAACCGCGCCGTGAGCATTTTCACCTGGGACGCCTTTGAAACCATCTTATCCGATTGGTGACGGTAGCCGTAGATCACGGTGGCTAAAGTTTCCCCGAAATCCTCGGCAGTGGCGAGTTCTGGCGCCGCTGGCTCGCGTCCGATTAGAAGGGTCCGGTAAAGCCGCCGCAAACAAGGCGTATAAAACTTGTAGTTGGTCTGGGCCAAGTTGACCAAGCTTTGCTGGTTCAAATAGGTGGTCAACCGAGTAAGGACGGCGTCGGGTAAGTCGGTCCACGCCATGGCGCTCGTAGGATGTGTAGGAGTAAATTGTTGGCCAGCGGTGGTGTTGGCGCGAGATCAATCCCGTGCGGCGGCGCGTGCGAATCGAAACCTGGGGCAACAAAAAGTATAGCGAGCAACGCACCGCGCCCGTGCGACCATTTTGTTGGGTGGTTGGGCCGAGGTTGGGGATATGTATCCAAAAGTACTGTAATTGAACTAGGTCCGGTAAAGAGGATAGTTATTGCGAAGTACAACTACTGATTGAATTTACTGACTGACTGCAGAGAAGTATGGCGGTTGAATTGGTTATCAATTCGATCTATTAGGAGCGTTGTGTATCAACCGTTACCTCGGTATAGGAACAAAAAGAGCGACTTTTGCATACCGAGAAAGAACACGGATCAGTGATAAATAAACCCCCCAAGGATTGAAGGTGACACCTTTTTACTTCAAGCTCAATTGCTGACGGAATTGAAGCTAAACTGATTCTACACTCTACATGACCATACGTTTAGTAAAGGAGGCACGCAGCGGAGACAGGTACCGCCACTAGCGAAATCACGGATTAGCCATCAAATCTATCATCGACAATTCATTCGACACCAATCTACAACTAGTTTCGGTAATAGAGTAGCCATTTGTGAGTGCTTCCGCTACTTCTTGCCGAGATTAACCCAGGCGCTCCCAAATGGGTTAATTGATCCGAGCCCTTTTGGTCTCGATCATCGTATTCCAGGCCTAGATCACCCAGCGAGAATGACTCAAGCATACGCTTAACTTGATATTACCTATGAGCCAAGCCTCAGTCGTGTGTTTACTTCCCGGGTTAGCCACCTTACCCGGTATACGAGTACCAGCGGGCACCAAAGCTTTATTTAATTTAGCCAGCGGGTTCAATCAAGCTTTTATTAAATAGTGATTACATTCCTGAGCCGTGGCTGGCTGAGGGTCACAGAAGTGGTGGACCACAGAACTGGTGGGCGCCTCACAATGTATACCTAATTTCGCCTCGCTTAGTCTAATCGACCTACCTTGACCATAGATCGCCTGCACTGAGCCGTCGCATCGACCTCCACCATCCACAAAAGCCTAAATGGCGCTGGCACTAATTAATAAGGCGGCTCGGTACTGGTACGCCAGGTATGCCAGCCGTGAGCCTAATGTTTATCAAAAAGTCACGTGATAGTGTTCACGTGACCCTCACCATCTTCATCTTATCAACAGAGTGCGGGGCCCCGTAACCAGATGATCCCACGGGTGCGATGGCTATCGACACCAGCCGCCCCTACTCGGGCCCGCCTCGGCCGACCCAGTAACCATTTGCTGCTGGGGCTTGTTGGTCTCGCCAACGTCGGCAAGCTGACCTTGTTTCAGGCCATCACCAAGCTGCCCCTCGGCAATCCCGCCAACTACCCCTTCGCCACGATCGACCCGGAAAAGCTGATTATCCAAGTCCTGCTGCCAGCGCTTGCCCACTACGCTCAAATCTATGGTAGTGCCAAAGTTGTACCTACCACTCATACGCTATGGGACATTGCTGGCTTGGTACGCCACTGTCTGCTGGGCCACGGGCTCGGCAATAAGTTCCTCAACGATATCCGCCAAGTTGACGGCATTTTCCAGGTGGTCAGAGGTTTCGATGATGAAGACGTCACCCACGTGGAAAACTCAGTTGATCCCGTGCGTGATTTGTCGATTGTTGCTGATGAATTGATCCTTAAGGACTTGGAGTATGTCGAGCTGGCCCTGGAGCGATTGGCTAAATTAGTAAAGAAACCGGGGCAACTGGGAGCAATTAAGGAACTCGAATTGATGGAGACGGTACTGGAAATGTTATACGAGGGCCAGCCCGTTAGGGTCGGCGCCTGGCTGGAGGAAGACGCTACCATCCTCAACAAGTACAATTTCTTAACGGCAAAACCATCAGTTTACCTTGTAAACGTGTCTGAAACGGACTACGCTACCCAAACCCTGAAATATTTAAAGGATATTCGTCAATGGGTGGCCGATAGCTCGTTTGGCGATGAACCTGACCCCGTGGTTTTGGTCCTGGCAGCAGCCGAAACTAAGATGGCGACATTGGAAGGGGAAGAACTCAGTCTGTATGAGCAAGAGCTTGGTCGTGGACTGGCTATTTCCACCTTAGTGGACGAAATGCGGTCTGCTCTTGGTCTTATCTCTTTCTATACTTGTGGCCCCGAAGAGGCTCACCAGTGGAGTGTACGTCAAGGTTCTACTGCTCCTGAAGCCGCGGGTGTCATCCACACCGACCTCCAAAAGACATTCATCTCGTCATTGGTGTATAAGTGGGATGACTTAAAACACGAGCAGGAGTTTAATGAGGCCAAGTTGAAACAAATGGGCAAACAGTTCCGTCACGGCAAAAAGTATGTTGTCGAAGACGGTGACGTCATCACTGTCAAGGCCTCCGCCAAAAAGTGATACATGTATATAGTTTATGAATGAGTGAAACGATTTCGACTTACCACTCTCTAGTATTGGCGAGGGCTTACAGTATGCCCAACTAAATGATTTCTAGTCTTCTGAATTAGATACAAGCTTTGGATCTGCGATAGCTTAGAACTTTAGCTTTGTTCAATGAAAAAGCCCAATTCATGGTTAAATTTATATTGCTTGTCTGAGGGGATTTTATCTCATTGTGTTGATTATGGACAGTTTATTCTGCTGCCAGCAATTGAGTTATCATGACAGCGTGAAATACAATAATATAGTCAACCGACTAATAGTACTAGTACAGAAATTTTGATTTTGTGGTATTTGGATGAGTTCGCTTCATACTCACATTAGTCGCAGCAACAGTGGAAGGGAACACTGCGAATTTAATTGGTAGCAAGTGAGCAATTTTAATGAAAATGACACCTATGAAGTCACTAATTCTTTCACATAACCCTGAACCAAAAAAATTTCATTTTACAAATGGAGAGACATTGGTACCGCCAACTGGTCGCACACCCATGCCATCGTTATTGCGAATACAGGCAATCACAGATGGTTGCCTTTCTATATAGGTCTGTTTGAGCAAGTAATTACTTGTCACAGAATCCATTTCAATTCCGTGAGATCTTTCTCTCTCTCCAGCTATTGTGGGGTCCAAGCGGAACGACATAAAGAAAGCATAACACATGCAGCATTCAAGGATCTGATGTATACATTTATTTGCCCATTTTAGAGTCGTGAAAAACACTCCCTGAGAAACTACTGGGTTACCTCAGATACGTAGCCATGAGCCTTGAGATTTCTAGAATTTTGTTGGAGGCTTTGGAGTTTTTTCTATTTCTCCTTTGATACATAGCTTTCTGAAAATTTCGTAGAATCCTTTAAAAATGAATATTGTCAAAGGATATCAGTAGATGTGTTGATGGGGCTCCTGACATTGTATTCCATTGAGGGGGCTGCAAAAATATGAAGTTGGCTGACTGATAAAAAACCTATCATCAATCTGTTTTTCAAGACCTGCAACAAAATGATTCATTTGTTTAATGAATTGGTCGCCTCAGTTATTGTCTTCTTGTCTTATGCCCGAACAAATTAACGAAATCATGATACGTATCCTAAGAAAAATAAGATAGAATGCACTGGTAACAAATGTATGACTACTTTCAGAAAACATTCATTGTGGAGGTCTGTATCATTAGGCAATGAAAATAAAAGCGAAATTGCGCAGGATGACATAAATTGTGTGGTGACATCACTATTCCACTCCTTTTAACTCACGCCATATAAATCGAATTCGAACAATTTCTCCGTAAAATCGATTTTGTGTCACCATACTGCATGTCGTTCTAGCCGTATCTGCATCCCAAAGATTGACAAAAAAGGTTATCTATAATCGTTTGATTCTCTGAACTTTGACAAACTATATAGCTTCATGAGATCAATTCCACTTGGTCGACTTCAGTATTGTTGCTGCAAGCGTCGCAAATTGTCTGAATATACGTCAGACCACCGATTCGAGCACCGTTCCGGTTACTCCGAGGATTTCGCCGATTCTCGACGATGTCAGGCCTTACAACAATTACCGAGAGAGCAATAAACATGGTTGATTTAAACCTTCTCGTTTTACTGTTTGCACATAATTTCGTGCTCCCTCTTTACTGGAACTTGTCTCAACAATATTAAGACACAATCCAGAGATTTGGTTCAGAAGAAGATGGTAGAGTGGGAGCGAGTTTATTTGGGCTTGGGATGTCAAAATCCGCTTGACCACGTCAATGGAGTAATGAAAGAGATCAGCCCCAACTCTTCGATTGAACTCACCGAACTGACTTTGGCAGAAATTCGAACACTCATCAAATTCAAAAACTTACCACATGGGCAACGCATTAAGCTTACCAATTGTTTATTATTCAAAACTGAAGCACCAGACAAAGTTATCGGCGAAGTATTGGCGACGCTTTGGCGTCGATACCCCACTGAAGTTGAACAGACTATCAGTGACAAAGGGCAATTGCAACATTCGGGGATATTGAGAGCGTGTATCATCCATATTGGCAGTACTTTTAAGTACGCAGATCATGCTCGACTTGCTGAACTCATATCCACAACTCTGAAGATTTCCAAGGTGCTGCCTGTACGATTATTGGACAATTGTGGTAAGAACTTGAGGCATGAGAACAAGGCGAAAATGCTTCGAATGATTGATAATCTTCAAAGGAATTGCAACGCTGTAGACATCTGTATTGGTTGTCAACAAGTCGAGCAACAGGGCAAGACATTCATTCCGTTGCCTTCTTCATCTCAAGATACGTCTGCGCATAAATTGGTTGAAGTGTCGCCATCAATTGACCTGAAGACGTGTTCTTGTAAAGAAAATCCAAGAAAGCGAAAATGGCAGACGAAAAGCCCCAAACACAAAAAGCAAAACGCTGCTGCCGATATTAAGCGTGACATTACGATCCCACGGGATTTATCCCAGACGATATTCCACGATTATGATATATACTCTTTTAGAGGAAGTTCAACTCAACTCGAAACAGAAAAGAGTACTAGTGATATAGATTTTGGCATCGAGTGGACGTACGTATGAGTGAGAGTAAATATATGAACACAAAAGCTGTAAACACGTATGAATGGTGCCCCGATAATACTCAAAAGAATTCTGCAACTAATAGAAAACATTGGGTAAACTCTTATTTAGATTGGTTGCCGAATTGGCGATCTTCGGACACAAACTTCACTCCACCTGTTCCACCTCTTTTCGTCTTTTTCGCATCCGAGGTACAGTGGTCGAGAGGTTAAGACGCTGGATGCAGGTTCCAGTTCCATTTGGAGCGCAGGTTCGAACCCTGTCTGTGCCGCAAGATTTAATTTTTTTAGTCCACCACTCTGTACACCTTACATCCATTATATCTCCCCATTTAGCACTTTACATGTGTGTGTGTTTACTGCTATTCCTGGAGTAGTGCGGGGCTGTGCGCCCTGCACTGCCGCCTTACACTCCAGCATGTTCCGCCTCAGCCACCGCTACAAGCGATGAGCCCAATGTCTCAATTGCTAGGGTGCCAAATCATCAATCTTGACAAACGGTTTGAAAGATTCGCTGTTAAGAACCCCTATAAAGGGTCTGGGCTCGGGATCGGAGTTGACACCTGTGCCATGACGTCGCCACCCGCACAGGTCATCGAACGATTTGTCGTAGGAGCTCATCGCCAAGAGATCAGGATTACCACCAATTCCAATCAGATAAGTAAATACTTTTTGTAGTTGTCGCCACCGTCTACTTTCTTCCCACTTGCTGGCTAGGCCATTGCCGGGTTCGCCGTTTTGGGGAAAACCGCCGATCGCAGGTGCTCGTGCTTTTGTTCGCTCGGACCCAACAAATCGTTATCACTCACAAGTCAGTGTAATCTCCGCTCCCCGCTCCATTCCCCCATAAATTAATAACATCTATATAAACCCTGAGACACCCTCAAAGCTACCATCCCTAAAATCCTATTCTAACACGGTTCAACCCATTTTTTTCGTACCCTTTTTCCCTCGATTGATGACCTGAGGCTGCTGTCCCGGGGAACAAAGAGGCGCACTGCAGGGAACCATCAATTTTCCATACCACACACACACCAAACCCATTTCAGCCATACACCCCATTATGTTCCGCCACACGCTAAAAGGACACCGGCGGCTGATGCTTCTCGGGTGCTTCAGCCTCAAGCGACACCGCGGCTACGCCACCAGCGCCACCGCCGCTCCCACGCCCCACCCAGTCGACCATCTGGACGCCATCCTCGCCCTGACCTACGCGGGCTTTGACCCTCGCCTCATCCTGGTGTTCGCTCAGCTTGATCTGTTAGCCCCCCGCTTTGTATTGCTGAAAGGGGATATCGAAATCTTAAACGATCCCAAGCAGTTTTACCAGGTGCTTTGTGAGAAGATTACTCTGGCGCGGAAACGGGTGTTTTTGCTGCTGTTATATTTCGGTAAAGAGGAAACCGACTTGGTGGCGGTGCTCGACAAGGCGTTAGCTGCTACTGAAGACCTTCAGGTGCTGATTTTGCTCGACGGCTTAAGAGGTACGAGAGAAAGCCCTGACCCGTGTAGTGCCAGTGTCTTAGCTCCGTTAGTGGCTAAATATGGGGCACATCGAGTCGATTTACGCTTATACCGTACCCCTCAGTTGGGCCGGTATACGGAAAAGCTCGCCCCCAAACGGTTAGTGGAAGGCGTCGGTCTCCAGCACATGAAGATCTACGGTTTCGACGATGAAGTGATGCTTTCCGGTGCCAACTTGCTGAGAGACTACTTTGTCGACCGCCAGGACCGGTACTACCTTTTCAAACACCTGGGGCTTAGTGACTACTACTTCACCCTCCAAGATGCGGTGAGCAAATTGCTGTACCAAGTGGTCCCCCGGCGTCTGGGGGCCCTGCCGCTGTTCCGCCTCGACTGGCCGACGCTGAATAAACTGTGTGAGCCCCGTCTCAACGTCGAACGGTTCCTCATCGACTCCCAGCATCTCCTTACTCCCCTCCTCAAACAGGACGAGCTCAAGCTGTTTGACGAACACACCGAAGGCGGTGACACCATCGTGTACCCGGTCCTGCAACTCACTCCACTTATGGCTAAAGATAACGACGCCAGTACCGAGAAACCGGCCGTGCTCCGCGTATTATCCTACATGGACCTGCCCAAGATCCACTGGTGGTTCACCGCCGGCTACTTCAACATGTTGCCGCTGATTCAACGCCGTTTGCTTAACGGCAAGAGCTCCGGTGACGTCATCACCGCCTCGCCTCAAGCGAACCTGTTCTACCAAAGTGCCGGCATTTCTTACTACCTCCCTCAAGCCTATTTGCTTTTCGCTAAGCGGTTCCTCGAACGAATCCGTCAAGCTGGTAAGCAGGCCACCATCTCCGTGTGGGAGTGGCGGCGGGGAGTGGTCAACACCCCTGGAGGGTGGTCGTACCACGCTAAAGGGATCTGGGGCACTGCTCCCAACGAGAAGGAGCCTACACTTACCGTAGTGGGGTCGCTGAACTACACTAAACGGGCCTACTCGTGTGACTTGGAGACGAACGCGGTGGTCATCACTAAGGACCCCGAGCTTAAGCTGGCGATGAAACACGAGATCGACCATCTCATGGAACACGCGCACAAGATGAGCCTCGACGAGTTCGAACCGAAACCGGTGGAAGTGGTCGGGGCCGACGGGAAACCTCACACTAAGCTCGAGGTGCCCGAACACCGCCGCATCGCCAAGGGGGTCCCCGTCGCCGTCAAGGTGTTGTCCGACCGGTTATAATGCACATAGACACCAGATAAACGATAAGCATTATATCTTTCATTATTTGAGATTATCAGAATAGACGTTTCACTACAATTTGATGAGTGGACTTCCGTCACTTCACTCTAACTTAAAGCCATTGATGAAATTTAGTCTACAAATTGAACATTACTTATTACTGGATAATTTCATTTGAAACACAATCAGCTTTATAGCACAGAGTTCCAATCAAGACACTTATGTTTGTTTGATCCATTGTGGGTCTCTCTCAGTGTCCTAGCCTGTCTCTTTGTTGGTCGCGCTGATCCTACATATAGTGCTAACCACGGTGATTGGCTGGACGCCCACCATAGTGCGACCCGCACAACCTGAAAAATTCCCTCTCCCTTTCACACTCCATAAACCATGTCTGCTGCCGCCGCTAAGCAAGCCGGGATCACTGTAAGTCGAGCCACTTTCCATTATTGGTGGTCACTCTGAAACGTGGAATATTGATTGTGGTGTCTTCATTCGCGTCCTTCTCGGTGTGGATGATTTATCATCGATCATATCGCCAAACCACCAATTACGTGTCAAAGCCAATTACAGCAAGATACTAACCATTTAGCTTAACAGAGCCTTCGCCATCACCGCCAAGACCACCAGAGCTGCCCTCAAGCCCGAGTTCAAGACCGCCGCCGACAAGAGAGGTGTCGTCGAAGCCAAGGCCGTCAAGTACGAAAACGGCGTCCCCCAAGGCGAAGCCAAGTTTCTCGGCACCAACCCCACCCAATAAGCAAGCTATAGAAGAATAAACAACTCCGGATCTGAGGATATGACAGTGAGGGCACCCCATTGTAGATGGAACTGAATGAGCCCAAACCTATGCCTTATTCGATTTAAAGGTGATTGTAATTGATTCCTCGGTGCCACACTATCCATAACGTATCTCTATTCATTGAACATAGTGTTGTGGAGATCCATTCATATGGTGCTCACGGCGTTAACGAGTGGGCCACGGTATTAGGAAAATGATGGCCAAAAGAGCCTCAAACAAAACTTCGATAAACCAATAAATTGCCATAACAAAACTCTGGCAGGGCACTAACTTAAAATATTGGTCTACGATATTTTGCCTTCACTTTACCATCTCTTAAGTCTGGAATTGATAATCTGCGAGTCGTCAATTCAGCCTGACCCAACCTCTGGCCAATCGGGCGAGAGAGAATGTTTGGATCATTACTTAATTAAAATGTGATCCGTAGCCCATCTCTACAAACTGTTTCTTTCATTTTCAATATCAGTAACATATTTTCAAGATCGAAAAACGTGACTTAAATTATACTCAACAAGCACAAAATGCTCACTTTTGGTTAGACATCAGAGGGTCGCTGTAATGTCAACGTATCGGGACGGCACCACACGGTGGAGCCAACTTGCACTAATCCGTGCCTGATGTCGTCGGGTGGGGGGTCGACAGGCAGGCCACTCCAGACTGCTTCCCCCCACTGCAAAAGTTCGAGCTTTTGTGACTCCTTGAAAGTATCCGTGTCCCCAATTCGTAAGCCCTCGCCAGGCAATTTGAGCTGTATAACCGATGGGGGGGATCGCAAGCAGCTGGTAGACTCCTTCACCGTCGGTGATAATAACCAACCGAAGGGTGTCACACCCTCTGTATCAGCGACGTGGATCTGATGGTATCCATAGCAAGCATGCTCTCTCCACCATGCTGGGGAGTTGTTCAGCGGTGTCGCAAATTAATTGCTGACAGGTGATGCCAGCGGGAGTCTTGACGTGGACCGTGCACCACAGCGGAAGCAACGCCCACGTCTTGAAGTCAATTTAAGTAGTGTCACATCCAACGCCAACCACTGGCGTCACGCATACAGTAATCTTTTTGAGCCGGTTGGCGATCACTGTTTTGATAGGGATATACCGCTTCCAACGCTCAATTTAGGCAGCGTACAAGCGACACACCGAGGCATCGTCAAGGTGGAACACAATCTCCTTACAAAGCTCAGCGGGGAGACCCTCAAATTTGGTTTGAGGCTTTGTTTTAGGTGGTGGGTGTTGGTTAGAGCGCCGTCGTTCGTTCACAGATGAAGCGTCCATTTCTCACTTTGCGGGAGTCAAGTCTGTGGTATAAAATACCCCTTGTCACTAACCCCGTGACCTTGATATGCGTACACTCATGGCGGTGCTTGGAGTTTCCCTGGCGTTGTCAATTGAGGAAATCTATGAGTAGTGCGTTGCGCACTCAATATCCCGTTCTATGTGACACCAAAGGGGGCTTTAATTTAACGACGGACAGGACAAGGACGATATATTGATGTACATTGAAATCAGAAAATGTATATTTGCCTCAAGCGTTTCATTTTCTCAAAATCTAGTTGAAGTGTGCGATATCAGGGGCAAACAGATGCCATACTCCGCACTCAGGGGTAAAAAAAACGCTTTTTGAAAACAGTTCCTTCAACAAACGGGTGATAAATTTAAAAAAATTCAATATTGATATCTAAATCGCAAAATCGACTAGTTCACGAAATCTTGTAAGACTTTTATTAGCCTAAGGTTTCAAAATCGTATACGGGCATATAGCTCAGTTGGTAGAGCGTCCGCTTTGCATGCGGAAGGTCTTGGGTTCGACTCCCAATGTGTCCATTTCTTTTTGCAATTTTTACTGTTAGTCTTTGTTTTATTCATTGTCATTCTGTTAACGATGTAAACAGATGGCTTTAGGACCTCGCTTCATTTTCTTGAAATATGAAGTCCACATTGAGGTTGGTAAAGAAAAAATGACCGACGCAATTAATTCATTCTCGCTTTGTCATGCTATCGTAGATGAGCATAACAAGCTATTTGAATACAGTTTCAATGGATACAAAGTTCCTGCCATATTTCAATTTTCTATCTTTTTATCCTTTGAATAATTTCGAAGCTGGGCGCATCGTATTCAGGTAGGCTTATATGCATATAACGATCTTGTGGTTCCTGATAATTTTGCAGGACGGAACATTATGGAACAATTGAATTCATAGTTTCAAATTCCTGGTATTCGGTTGAGCAAATACGATCTCTTATAATTGATCTTTGAACCCAATCGAAATTGTTAAATTTGAGCTTAGGATCTTCAACTACATGGACTATATTTGTGTCAGGTGAATTAAATGGCCGTGATGAATGGTCATTAAGCCGTTACAAAAGTTTCGCATAAGCGGATGGTTATAAGCTGTGGCTACCCTCCATATTGAAGCTCGTCAAGCATCTCTGCCACACCTGGGTAAGTGATCTTCCAATTCTTCGAATTCATGATAGCCAAGTTTTTCCACAAACGTTTTTCAACAGTCTCCAAACTCTGGATCGTAACCACTAGTTCATGCAGTTGCTTCAATGGCACATAATAATAACCCCCTCGTCTCAAGGTGTGAACTCTGCCCTCGCCTTTATGTTTAAAATAGAGTTTGCCATTGACATCCACCACTGGATCACAATGCTTTTTAATGTGATCGAGAGATATCATGATGGGCAATGCCTCCAGCATCTTTACCCCTACTTCATTGGAGTGAGGATCGAGGGCAAGGGATTTCCCGAGACTGTCGGGTGAGTAGAAAGCGTTCACTTTAAACGAACACCCGACATCGTCGACGACTTTGAATGTCCCAAATCCAACTGTAGTAATCTCGCCAAACGGAATCTGTTTCACAAAGGGCTTCTTTTTCTTGAAATTGCTCAAGACCAGTCTTACCACGGCACAAGAAAACATGATATCAGAAGACAATAGAGCCACAGGTCCCATCAACTTGATCTGCTCATAGAGTACGTTGTCCAAAGTTGAATATAATGCCACCATAATCAAAATGCAAACGCAATTCTTGTTAAGCTTTGGACATGAAACCAACTCGAAGTGGAGGAAAATAGAGTTTATGGCATTAAAAAAGATATTCCCCCCGTTTTTGTTCAAAATTGAAAAGTCTTGGAAAGACCGAAAGGTATGCTCGATAGAGTGGAAAACCATAGGGCCGAAGATGGGAGGGAACCAGGCGGGATGATCATTGATGAGACGGGTAACATAGTGTGTGAGTGAATCAATGCCTTTTTGGAGATGTTTTGAGATTGCGGAAGTATCATCAGTGTCCTCCTTGGGGTCTTCAGCGGATTCTGAACCGGAGCTTTCGAAAATGTTTTCAACGCCCTCCTCGATTAAGTTGTAGTTACTAATCAACTTGGAGTCCAGTGGTGGCTTAAATTGATCCCACTCTAAGCCAACAGTACTGTCGAGTTGGTATTGAGGAGTCGGAATTCTCTGTGGCTGGTAGAAGTTACTCAAGTGCTGGAAAGCTTTCCAAGCAGCGATGTCGTCTTCATTGGTGAAGAGCAAAGTCGGGAGGAAATTCAAAAGTAACATGATCATACCGCGGACCTGACCCATAGCAAACATAGCATATTGCTTAGGTGTTAGTGATTCTTTCTTCAAGCTGCTGAAGCTATCTAGGATCAATTCGAATTGCTCAGGATAGGTGAAGGTGTTGGGGAACAAAATAGAAACAATCTCAGCAACACCGGGACGATCCATGTAATCAACCAAGTGGTATAATTTTTTGAGTAGTTGTTGGATCTTGAGAACACTGTCGGTGTTACCCTCTTGGTAAGTGCAATCGTCAGCTTCAAAGATGAGATTTACTGTCAAAATCAAGACAACGTGGTCCATCTCGACCTTAGCTAAGTTACTTTGTGCCGATTCATTTAATTTGATTGAGATCAACGACGCCGTGTCAGGGAGCACATCGATGATTGTTTGCTTGAGATAGGCATTAAAGCTTTGGGAGTGTCCATCGACATCAGCTTGATATGCGAGATATTTCAATAGGGGCAAGTTATCGAGAATATCCACCGGAGAATTGACTGGTGGCAACGCCAGGAGTTTCGTTCTGTTTTCTGGTGTTGAAGCACGCAGTGTGGGACCAAGTGGTTCCCTTAGCATGGTATGAGGTGATGCCCGTTAAAGGGGCAATCAATTACTAAGGATTATAGCGAATTGTCGGAAGCGGGGTCAGACACGACAGTGATTCAATTATTCGGCTCATCGTTGGGGCAATTCCAATACAGCAACACCTAGCAACCGCGCCATACACTAGATGGCGGCCGTCAATGTAAACATGAATTGAATAAGGCATTAGACGAAATAGAGCAAGATTGTATCATTGAGTTCAGGTGATTTTGGACAGAGATTTTGGTATTCAGCTTTATATTTTCCAGTTACTTGGAGATCATTTAATTCGCCTCGCATAAAAATCTTTCAAAGTCAATGATAAATTTGACAAGAATAATGGAATGTGAGCTCAAGATAATCAGAATGAGTTCTAGAGCCTGCTCCAAAAACTGACTTACAAATTTTTATAATTTCTTGTGGCCACAGTCCACAAGGTCAACGCTACGACTAGCACACTCGTGGATACAAATACAAAAGACTGCGTGTTGGATTGAATGTAAATTCATCGTTGTTTAGTAAATTGAACAATTTCGAGTGTCTATAAACCAACGTCCATAATTTCAAATTTTTCGATAAATTATATCCTTAAGCTGAGTTGATACTGAACAACCAAACCATTTCGCGTGAATAATTACAAATCCTTTTTACTCATGAAGAACCTCGAATTAAATCGAGTACTCCAGTAACATACGTCCGGTACTGAGATCTTGAGTATCAACCCATTCACCATCGCGTCGTACAACCTTAAGATAACGCTTATGCAATACCAACATATCAAGCATATCAAATCCTTGCTGCTGAAACTCAGTAGCAGAATTGTAAAGGTAAAGCGGGTTTGCTGACACAAGATGATCACGAACAGATTCGTGATCAAACAAAATCCGGGGCCAGTTGAATGACATTACTGTTCTTGTTAACTCACAATAGGTGAGTAACTTAAAATTGGCAGCAAGGCTGGCAGCACGGTTGACATCCAGTCTCCCAGTCACTAAAACTAGGCGCCGTACGGTAGCTGAGAACGCCGTAACGTTGTGAGCGTCGATGAGCACAAATAAGTCTGTTAGCAGAGTAAACTCACCGGCATGATCAAACACCTCGCCCGTTAATGTGAGTACCGTCAACTGTTTCACAGAACTGAGATCAATTACATGAGCAATACCGGGGTGTCTCCCTTCAAGTTGTAAGCTATCCACCCGATGTTTCACCTCGGGCGTCGTTAGAATGACGTTATACCCAATCAATGCAAGACGAGTCAAATGGAGACCCGTATCTGAAGGAATCATGTTTGGGTTGATTGCCCACGGAATTTGTGAGAAAGTAGTTGTCACCCAACCCCGTGTCAGACTGGTCGTAGATATTCTGGAAACACGCCCATGCCAGCGAACAAACACTCCTTCGGTTGTAAGCATTTGGCACGAGGGCCATTCAAAACCACTGAAGTTGAGGTGTTCTAGTTGAGCTTTGGAGAGAACTAACCATTGTTGTAACTCTTCATTGTGCCAATTTAGAACGGGGCGAAACATCGAGTCGTGCACGTAAATATGACTGAAGAGCCATCGTTTGATTTGGGCGTTTACCGGCCGTCGTACAATTCCCGTATGTGGGTGATCCGGTTGAGGACGTAATAACGTTAGCACTAAATTTTTGGGAAGGTAGAGAAAGATTTTGAGCACAATGTCAAACGGTAAAGCCAGCATAAGCAAGAACTGGTCGTCCACCAGAGTCGTTTGGACGAGAATGTTGGTAGACATGATAATTAAGGGGTGATGAGCGCTCCTTGTAAATTTCAAATCTTTCCCCTATGTTTAAACTTTCCTTACCAACTGAGTAGCGAAAAAATTACTTTCAGTCAATCATAACGAAATCAGATGATCGATATGTATTGAGTCCAATCCCATCAAACACAGCTCTTTTGGTAAACTATGATTAGTTTTGTGGTAGTTATCATCGGGTACGACTGCAATTGGTTTGATGTGAGGTACAGGCTGATTTGGGTATAGTCTAGTCCATTATGTTATATCTATTTACAATAATTTGTTTATAAGCGCAGGTTGTGGTTGTCCAGTTCCATCTCCACCGTCATCTCCTCCATCAACCGCTTGCGGAGTTCAGCGGGCAAGTCGTCGATGAGCGAGCGCACCCGTTCGAAGTCGACTTCCTGGGCGTTCAAGAACTGTTCTTCCTCGATGCGTTCCGCTTCCTGGTTCATCTTGTGTTGCTCAGCAATCTCTTCGTCGCTCATCTTGGTGTACTCCTTCTTGGTGCTCAGCTCGTCCAACAACTTCGAGAGCTCCGACGACGGGTCGGCAAATAAGTCGACAAACTTACCTTCTTCGACCACTTTGCCGCCCTTACCGAGGACGATGACGTTCTCCAGCTTCGAGATCGTCAGCAACCGGTGGGCAATCAGGATGATGGTCATGCTCCCTTCCATCGTCAACCGCTTGAGGGTATCGTTGATGAGGGCCTCCAGCTTCGAGTCCAACGCCAGCGTCGCTTCGTCGAGAATTAAGATCTTCGGCCGCTTGATCAAAGCGCGGGCGATGGCGATCCGCTGCTTCTGACCGCCAGAAAGCAGCGCCCCGCGAGCGCCAATGATGGTGTCGTAGCCATCGGGGAACCCCATGATGAAGTCGTGGCAGTTCGCCTGTTGACACACTTCGACGATATCGGCCATCGTAAGCTTAGAGATCTGCGACGGAGTAAGACCGTAGACGATATTCTCAAGGATCGACCCCAGCAACAACACCGGTTCCTGCTGGACGATGCCAAACACTTCGCGTCTAAGCTCACGTACTTGGAAATCGTTGATGTTAGTGCCACCAATATAGATCGCCCCACCTTGAAGGTTATAGGCGCGAATCAAAAGACTGGCAATCGTCGATTTACCCGCCCCCAGCGGTGCCACAAAACACGTAGACAGTCCCGGAGCCACTTTGAACGAGCAGTCCTTGAAGATGATATCACGAGGACGAGTGGGGTAGGCGAAGGTGACGTCACGGAACTCGATATCGTTGTTCAATTTAGCAGGAACCATTTTCCCCTTGACGGGGGGTACTTGGTCGCCGTGGTCAATCAAATCAAACAATTTGAGACCGGCACCCAGCCCTTTCATAAGCTCCATGTAGGTGGTGGTCAACGAGTATAACGCCAGGTTGAAAAGCTCCAGGTACATCGTAAATGCCACCACATCACCGGTGGTCATTTTGCCATTGAGGATAAGGTAGACACCAAGGGCAATACACGATAAGTATCCGGTATGGTAGAGCCCGTAGATCAGCACCAGGTAGTTCAGTTGAGCGAACGCTTCCTTCTTGGCGACATTGACCACGCGACGAAGTTGGTTCAGATACTTTTGAAGTTCCTTATTTTCAGCAGCAAACGCTTTCACTAAGCGAATAGCGTTAAGGGTTTCTTCCAGTACTTTAGTTAACCCCGCAGTAACGTTTTGGAGCCGCGTGGAAAGCTCTCTGATCTTTTCCCCGTAACGAACAGAACCAATCGTAATCGGTGGTGAAATAAGCATCATCACCCCAAACAAGATCGGGTTAATCAGCCACATCATGTACGCTGAAATAATACCAAACAACAAGTTTTTGAGCCCATCGGGTAAGTTCAGCGTGATCAGCTTCAGCACCACGTACGCGTCCAGCAGCAACCGCGATATAAGGTCGCCCACTTTGTGTTTCTCCTTATCGTAGAACGCAGCGTCGTGACGAAGCAAGTGTTTCATCACTCGAAGTCTCAAACGAGCCACAAGCCGTTCCCCAAGCAACTTCAAAAGCCAGATACGCGCCCAGAAGCACGCAGCCAGCACAAGCATAAACGGCACCATCGCCATGAATAAGTTCTGGTACTTGTATCCCCAGATAACGAGATCACCGTCAGCATCACGTAACCCCAGATTATAGGCATCAATCAGCGCCCCAACAAGTTTCACCGCCGTGGTGGGGTAAAGCACGGCAAAGAGGATAAACAACAACGCGTACACGAACAACTTAATATCGGGTTTACCGAGTTTGATGATCCGTTTCACCGTCGACAAGTTTTGTCTGAGGGTGCGTTTGGCGGTGGCAATCAGCTTTTGTTTCTCTTCTTGGACAAGCTCAAGTTGTTTGTTGCGGGAGTAGTCCAAATGCAGCTGGACCGAGCTCAAGAGCTGTAAGGGGTCTTCATCAGGACGGGACGGAGTGGTCAGGGCCAATCTGATTGGAATAGTCCCGATTTTGGTGGCGATCAGTGCCGATAGCGGCGTAAGCCGATGGTTAACAATCAGACCACTAAACGCTCGGTTCCCCACTTTTAGTAGTGCCAAACTCGGCGGACGCAGTGGTAGTAGCACCAGCAGCCGCCCCACAAGTAGCGGCCGTGTGGTTCGTAGCAACATCGAGCTCACCGGGCAGTGTGTGGTATGGTAGTCACGGTGAACGATCCGGTTGAGCGATAGCGACGCCTGGCGAGCGCGGATGCGACATCGGAGAAGGGGACGAGAACTATGTGGAATAGAGAGATTAGCAAGCCTAAAACATCATAAGAGAGATTTGCTTTCAATTTGAAACATAATATGAACGATTAGGTAGTAATGTATTGTAGTAAGAAGTGGTATCCAGCCTTGTGAATGATGATGGGGAGTTGCACACGATGACTCATCGGAACCCACGTGGTGAAAGACACTAGAAATCAAACCACCCCATCTAAAACCAAACCTATCAAACTGATGAAATGAAATTAATCATAGAGCGTTAATATCGGTGTTAGGCTTAGTTGTTACCATCCTCTTTGGGTTGTCTTTTTTCGCATCGCATCGGTACCACTACCACCAAAGCGATGAAGATCTTGGCCGCCCGGGACCTGTTCCTCTCGAACTACGAGGTCGAACAACAGCTCCAGGAGCTTAAAAAACGGTACAACTGGACGTTCACCTTGGACGATGATAAGAAGACCCGCGACCGCCACCGCAAACGGTTCACCGCGGCGGGGATCAACTTGGAAGTGGTGACCCGCGATACCTTGGCCTACTTCCACAAGACCCCCACCAATAACTACCAGGATTTCGACCAGTTTAAACTGTTGATGGAGTACTTGAACACGTTGGACTTGGTTAAAGCGGAGAAACTCCAGATCGTGAATCAGTTGCCGCGCCAATTAGTGCAATTGTATACCGTGGTCGATGAGTACGGGGAGAGATTTGGCGAGGACCAAGCCCAGGAGATTTGCGATAAAATTAACGAGATAGTGCCTGAACCGGAAACTGAAGCCGTGGAAGAAGAAGAAGCAGAAGAAGCAGAAGACGGTGAAGCGATGGAAGTCGACGCCGTTGAAGAAGACGATTCCGATGAAGTCGTCGTGGTCAAGGAAGAGACCGCGTAAAGCACTCGACTAATCGTCACCAAAACATCAACAATACTTCTGAAACAGGTTAGTCGTCAGAGTCCTGGTTGCCATCATTACCATCACTATCAACGATGTTGGTACCTTTCGTCGCTGGCGCGACTCAAAGGTAACTCGCAGTACTAGCTAGCAACCCTCTCGTACTTTTGCCGCGCGGCGCCCGGATACAAACCTAGTCCCCGGGGACCCGCTTTCGGAACACACACCTCCATGCCGAGCCCATCCGGTATCCGACTCCCGTCCATCACCAGGTAGTGCCCAGGTAAACCTTAATTCCACAAGCATAACTTAATCTTGACACAGGTACCCCCATGTACATCGTACCATGTAAACAGCAAGCTCTTAGCTGTCGCTGGTAGTCACCCCACTATTCCAACTGTAAGCGGTGCCGCGCGCCATATGCACCGAAACCCGCAATGGCAGAGACGCCCGTGTCGTTCGACACTGCTCCGGCGCGGGGCGCACCCCCCACCTCGCACCTATAAAAGCCCACCCCCCACCCAATTAATTGACCCAATTGCCAATTGCCATGACGAGCCCCCTGGAAGTGCCGCTGGAGGTGGGGGACTACCTCACCCCCTCAGAATTGCCCAAGCCCAAGTTGAAGCGCACGCTGACCGGGTTCACCCCGAACCAGATCTTGACCTACGAAGCCGCCATCCCCGAGCTGGCCCGCAACATCTGGACCAAGTACTCGCAATTGCTGTTGACCGACCACCAGCGCAGCCAGCCGACGAAAGAACACGAAGTGCTCACCACTAAACAAGGGTTTGAGAAGGCGTTTGTCAGCCACACCGAATTGACGTTGGCGAGAAACATGTACAATTGCGACGAGTTGGCGGCGTACATGGCGGCGGCCACCACCATCAGAGATGGCCTTGTGCTTGACTGGGGCAACACCCAGCAGAAACAGACCATCCACGACGGCAAGCGTGTCTACTATTTGTCGTTGGAGTTCTTGATGGGGAGAGCGATGGACAACGCTTTGATCAACTTAAAGTGCCGTGACAACACCCAGGAGTCGTTGGCTGAATTAGGGTTCTCGCTCGAAGACATTTTGAACCAAGAGCCTGACGCCGCCCTCGGTAACGGTGGGTTAGGCCGGTTGGCGGCGTGCTATGTCGACTCGTTATCGCTGAAAAACTACTCCGGTTGGGGTTACGGGCTTAACTACCAGTACGGGATCTTCCAACAAAAGATTATCGACGGTTACCAAGTGGAATTCCCCGACTACTGGCTCCGTTACTCGACCCCGTGGGAAGTGGACCGCAAGGAAATCCAGATTCCCGTCGACTTCAACGGGTATGTGTACGAGGACGTCGACCCCAACACCGGTAAGTCGCACAAGGTGTGGTCCGGCGGCGAACGGGTGCTTGCCGTGGCGGCTGACTACCCCATCCCCGGCTACAACACTCAGAACACCAACAACTTGAGATTGTGGAACGCCAAGCCCACCAACGAGTTTGACTTCTCCAAATTTAACGCCGGTGACTACCAGCAATCGGTGGGGTCGCAACAAAAGGCTGAAGCCATTACTGCGGTGTTATACCCTAACGACAACTTTGAACAGGGTAAATTGCTCCGTTTGACCCAGCAATACTTCTGGGTGGCGGCGTCGCTCCACGACATCGTCCGCCGGTTCAAGAAGATGCACAAAGACAACTACGCCATCTTCCCCGACAAAGTGGCCATCCAGCTCAACGACACCCACCCCACGCTTGCCATTGTTGAATTGCAGCGTATCCTTGTTGACCTTGAAGGGCTTGAGTGGAACACTGCCTGGGACATTGTCACTCGGGTTTTCGCTTACACCAACCACACGGTGATGGCGGAAGCTTTGGAGAAATGGCCGGTGGACATCATTGGGAAGTTGTTGCCCCGTCACCTTGAAATTATCTACGACATCAACTACTACTTCCTCCAAGATGTCCAGAAGAAGTTCCCTGAAGACCGCGACTTATTGGCCTCGGTGTCGGTGATTGAAGAAGGCCAACGCAAACAGGTGCGTATGGCTTATTTGGCCATCATCGGCTCCCACAAGGTCAACGGGGTTGCCGAGCTCCACTCCGAACTCATTAAGACCACTATTTTCAAGGATTTCGTCAAGGTGTTTGGCCCCGATAAGTTCACCAACGTCACCAACGGGATCACCCCGAGAAGATGGTTGCGCCAGGCTAACCCGGAACTCGCCGAGCTTATTCTGGACTTGTTGAACGACCCCAACTACGAGTACTTGACCAACTTGGGCCAGCTCAAGAACATTGAACGCTACGCCGACAACGACAAGGTGCTCCAACGGTGGAACCAAATCAAGTTCGACAACAAGCAGAAGCTTGCCCAGCTTGCCAAGGACTTGACCGGCGTCGAAATCAACCCCAAGTACTTGTTTGACGTCCAAGTGAAGCGGATCCACGAGTACAAGCGTCAACAGATGAACATCTTTTCGGTGATCTACCGTTACATCAAGATCAAGGAATTGCTTTCTCAAGGCAAACTGTTGGCGGAAGTGGCCAAGACGTTCATTCCCAAGGTGAGCATTTTCGGTGGTAAGGCTGCCCCTGGTTACTACATGGCGAAGACGGTGATCCACCTTATCAACAAGGTCGGTGACGTCATCAACAACGACAAGGAGATTGGCGACCTCTTGCGGGTGGTGTTCATCCCCGACTACAACGTGCTGAAGGCCGAGATCATCTGTCCTGGATCGGATATCTCCAACCACATCTCCACCGCCGGCACTGAGGCCTCGGGTACGTCCAACATGAAGTTTGCCTTGAACGGGGGGATCATCATCGGTACCGTCGACGGGGCCAACGTCGAAATCACCCGGGAAATCGGCGAAGAAAACATCTTCTTGTTCGGCCACCTTTCGGAAGAGGTCGACGACTTGCGCCACAACAACAACTACAAGGGTGTCCAGGTGCCCAAGCTGCTCCAACAAGTGTTTGACTTGATTTACAGCGGCAAGTTCGGCAATGTCGACGAGTTCCGCCCGTTGATCGAGCTGATTGCCCAGCACGGCGACTACTACTTGGTGTCAAACGACTTCGACATGTACTTGGAAGCCCAGCAAAAGCTTGAAAAAGTGTACGGCACCAGGAGATGGACCCAGATGCTGGTGGTCTCGGTGGCCAACATGGGTTTCTTCTCCCTGGACCGGTGTGTCGACGAGTACGCGGAAAACATCTGGAACATCGAGCCTTTGAGCCAGTAGGGAAGTGCTTTTGGGTACTTTTACGTATTTTAGTTTTTATTAATGATTATGTTTATGGATTTTGTTAGAGTAAATATGCGTAGAATAATTCCACGCGATGCTTAAGAAGAATTTCATCAGGGCCAGGGGTGCGTAACTAGCGTCTAAGCCTGGTGTCACCCAAGCCACCCCCTACACTTCATGTGACGGGCTATCACATCAAAATCCATCCTACTATATTATACACTACTAATAATATATAAAGTTTTATTTACCTCCCACCTCTCATCGAATAGATTCTCCCCCTTCCCTTTAATCCCCGCCTCACTATGGCCCGGGGTTTTTTTCTCTGTGGACCTCAGTGATCTACAGGACTCTAGAGCGCGCTTGGAAAAATCAAACCAAGGCCACCACATAGCTCACGCACCGTACCACTGGGAACCCGCTTTCTTCCACCATATTCGCTTCAAATTTAACTCCATATCGACTTTAAAGGCTTGGAAACCATGCTTGTGCGATTACTCGCGGTGATCTACACTGCCTGCGTGGCGGTGGCCGCCCCAGGGTACCTTATACCCCGCACCGCCAGCGACTTGCAACACCCGTACGTGGTGCTGGATTTGCCCGGTTTGGCCGCCAACGTCCCCGCTGACGCCGTACCAGAAATGCATGCCGGCCACGTCGACGTCGGCGAGGGGACAAAGTACTTTTTCTGGCGGTTTGCCGATTCCCAGAGACTCCCCGAAAACCAGAACCGGACGATGTTCTGGCTTAACGGCGGTCCCGGGTGTTCGCTGATGGACGGCGCCTTGCTCGAATGTGGTCCGTTCCGGATCGACGACTCGCAATCAGTGACCCATAACAACGGACTGTGGCACCGTTTGATGGACATGGTGTACGTCGACCAGCCCGCAGGCACGGGGTTTTCCGACGTTGACGGCCAGAGCTACGCCCAAAACCACTTTGACATCGGCACCGTGTTTATCCAGTTCATGTTGCGCTACTTTGAGTTGTTTCCCGAAGCCCGTGACCACAGCATTTATTTCGGCGGCGAGCTGTACGCTGGCCAGTACATTCCGTTTGTGCTTAAGGCGATCTTGGACTATAACCGAGACCACCCTGACCAACCGTTTAACGTTAAGGGGGCAGCTATTGGTAACGGGTGGTTCTCACCGAACGAACAACTGCTTTGGTATATCCCATTTTACCGTAAAGCAGGGCTCTTAGACGAGACTAACCCTCACCTTGCTGAACTTTTACAACAACACCAAAAGTGTCAGAAAATCGTTGACGATATTGACCGGAAATGGGACGATCCCGACGTCAATCCGGTGGAAACGGACCTGTCGATTTGTGAGAATATCTTATCCCTTTTGAATAAGTATACCCTTGATACCGATGCTCCCACCAACGAACAGTGTATCAACGTTTATGACTATACGTTAAGGGACTCACCAGGACTGTGTGGCATGAGATGGCCCTTAGAGCTCAAATACGTGACTCCTTTCTTGCGCCGTGATGATGTCATCGAGGCACTCCACGTCACCGATGCACACGATTGGAAAGAGTGTAAAGGTGGTCAGTTATCTCGGCAATTGAACACTCGCAACTCGAAGCCGGCAGTCCACCTTTTACCGGAAATCGCTAAGGAAATCCCTCTTGTTTTATTCAACGGCAACTTGGACATTATCTGTAACTACTTGGGCCAGGAGCTGTTCCTCAACAAATTGACGTGGGACAACCAACGAGGGTTTGATGAGGGCCACCAGGACTGGTACCATAATGGTGATGTCCACGGGTACATGAAGCTGCGGCTGAATATCTCGTCGTTGGTGATCTATAATGCTCTGCACATGGTTCCTTACGATAAGCCCGAAGTGTCGCGAGCAGTGATTGATATCTTAGTGGGCAACTTCGATAACCACGACGATAAACTTGAAACGTTCCCCATAGGGGTCAGACAAGCGAAGTTGGCTGAAAACAAACCTGAAGAAAAGCCGGAAGACAAACCTGAAGAAGATAAGCCTGAGGATGAGGAAAAGCCCCAGGAAACAGAGGCGGTGGAGACGCCCACGGAAACCAATACTGCGCCTCCCGCTGAGGAGCTGGGGTCGTCGCTGACCCACACCACCCTGGGCTTCACCCGCGTGGTGGAAGTGGTGGTGGTGCTTGTCCTTCTCTGGGGGGTATACGTGCTCTTTGTGTCGTACCGGTCGCGGCCCCAGCTGATCATCAAGCCTCCCGGAGCCCTGCAGAAGAAAAAGAACGTCCAGTGGGCCGACCAGTTACGTCAGTTCCAAGGCGATGACGACAACGACGACGACTACGACGGCCAGGTGGCGTCGCTGTCGCTGCCTCCGGCCAAGGGGTTCTTAGCCAAAGCTCGCGACAAGCTCACGGGTAAACCCGCCAACAATACCTATGCCGTTGTCCCCAACGATCTCGAATTGGGAGACCACGAAGGTCTCGCCGACGCCGACGACTTCGTCATTGGCGACGAGGACGAGGACCACGACCGCCCCATGCGGTGACCACACGACAAACGCTTGAACAAATATTCATTTTACATAGACTACCCCAATAGTAATACCAGAGCCAAAATCGGCCTTGTTTACAAAAGCAAGTAGCAGATCTAGAATCATCTTTCCTGATTATGACATCACTATCTTATCCGTTATACGTTTGTGGTTGTCACAAATTCGGTGATTGAGTGATCACTGGTGATGACGTCTCACGAATCACCCTACCAGCCATCGTGTGATGTAGGTTACGTCCACGCTAGTTTACGTGTCGTTTGAAGATAATAGGGGAAGAACGGGCTATGTGGATTGCGGGCACAAAGCGGAAGGGGGCGAAGCTGTTTCCGTGGTTGTCCGCACCCATACTTTGCCGAGGACGCCCGGAACGGTGTCCACCGTGCGAGTGCCGCTTCCGAGAGCCACATGGCTCTAGAACAATGGATTCCACCAGTGCCGCATGAACAAGCTTTACCCTATTAACTCATCAAACCGGGCCAGAAAAGGGTCGATCAATAGCGAAGTACAGGTACTTATTGGTACTGTCGGAGTTATCACCAGGCTCTTCCCGCCTCCCCCTTGCCAACGGGTGCCAAGAGATGGACCAACGCACCGAAGCCGCTAGCGAAGACGTCTGTGGCGATTGTCTCTCATTACCTAAGCGTGATCCTTGCTAATCTCCGCCCTACAGCCTCGGTCACCGACATTTTTTCTCCTGGCTAAGCCTGGCTAAGCCTATATCGCAGGTCTCACTCTCCCCACACCATCAAGCTTTTAAAGAGCCTGCTTCGATGCAGGACGCCTGCCATATCCTAAATCCACCACTTCGACCGCCATGCCCCGAGCCAAAGTCCGTCGCTGTGGCAACTGCAAGCGACTAAAGATCAAGGTAAGTCACTCCTACAATTGATAATGTTACCCAGAGTGTGCTAACCCTCGAAGTGTGACGAGCGCCGCCCGGCGTGTGAGTACTGTGTTGCCACCAACAAGCAGTGTGTGTACCCTGACGACGAACCACCACCGCCAGCGACCTATGGTCCTCACGAGTACGAACTGCTGGCTCTCACAAGCAAGCAGAACCTGCCGACATTCATATTCACCGGGTTCGATACCCGCCAGCGGTTCGGAAGCTTCGGTCCGTTTACTCCCTTCGAGGAGCGGCTTTTGGAGACGCTCGACCGGACGACGTTGGCCTACTATGCCAACTCGCGTGATCCCGCCCACCTCTACGCCGTGTTTGAGATGGTACCCGAGCTATTCGGCATGCTGGAGTTGATGAAACGGTCGATGTACGCCTACCTGCTGATGCTCCTCATCGCAGAGTCCCACCCCAAACTATTGCTTGGCGACTCGCTGGACGCCACCGAGGGGGTGCTCCAGCTCCACCGGTTCGGGTTCGCCAACTATAACCTCCAAGTATCGCAGATCTCGTTGCTTATGACCCGGCTCTCTTCCGGGGAGATCACCAACCAGGAAGTGACGATCTTGATTGCCGCCACGATGTTTCTCATGTCGATTGTCGGTAGCGGGACCTCGGAACAGATGCCATTGGTCAATTTCACCACGGGGAAAGGGGACTTCCTCACGTTGCTCCGAGGCGTCCGCGAGACCCACCGCATGGCCCAGGCCTACGCCTACGTGCCGATGTTCGATCTATACCATAAGGACACCTATACCCATCCGGTGCCGATGCTCCCGTTGTTTCGCCAGTATAACGAGCTCTACATCCACCACATGCAAATTGACGAGTTTGAGTTCGACGCGGAACAAGTCGAGTTTATGACCGGGGTACTCAAACTCATCAACCGCCTGGTCTACCTTTCCGCCCACGACAACGATGACCTCGAGTTTTTCCGGGTGTTCGCCCGCGGCGAGCCCGACTGGTTCGACTTGGTTTATGACCTAAACATGATGGGGCTTAATTGTCTCTTCATCATGGCAGCATACTGTCTTGGCTTCAACTACTACTTTGTCCGCCACGATAACATGTGGATACTGTATATGAGATGGTACAAGACGTACTGCTTTGCCCAGTACGGCGGGTGGTACTTCACTAGTGACGAACCGTTATACTCACTCATGGTGGATAAGCACTACGTGTTTGCCGATATGGACCAGCTCGTGGCATTTGACCCGGTGCACCTTGATATGGTGACCCCGTATAGACCGGGGAATGCTCCAGCTGCTGGTAATTGCTCTGCTGCCATCGACGCTTTCTCATGAAAGAATTTTGCGCCCTTAGTCACAAGAAGTTGCGCTTTGATTTTTTGCGCGGGTAAATCGCCCCCACGATGGATGGCGTCTGACCTTGAAAACCGAAAAAGTACTTTCGAATTGCGTGCTTTCACCTACATTGTACAAATTGAACGTCGTATGAGTCCTGGGTCACCCAGGAACTAATTAATGCTATAGAAATGACATGATGAACAAGGAATGACTTTCTCTCCTCACTTCACGTACACCACCGCCAGCTTGCTGGTCGGGGGCGTCAACCGTCTGTAGAGCTCGTCGATCTTCTGTCTCAACGTGGGGTCAGCGGCGTGGAACCCGCCCTTGTGGCTAAGCTGCTTGGCCACCTTCAAGTTCTCTCTCGCCTCGGCAATGAGGGCGTCGGAGTGGGCATCTTCTCCCGGTTCCCACTCAGAGGAAGACGACGACGATACCGCCAAGTGGATCGCCTGGGCGTAAAGGTAAAGGAGGTAAGCATCTTCCTTACCGGTGGCTTGAAGAAGCTCAACGCAGGCATCGCCAAAGCGAACGCTGGCGTCAAGGTAATTGTGGCGACTGTGGTCTTGGAAGCCCGCGGCGACAATGGGTTCAACGGTGGTGGGGTACTTGACCCGGGGGATATGGGTTTCACTTAAGCTGTGGCGAAGAGGCATAAACTGATGAGGACTGAAATTGACAGGCTACGAGGAAGGGGGGGGAGCTAGCCGTATATAAATAACGGTAGCTCTGGGGAGGGTTCTAGTCAACTGGAGCTGCGTTATCGTGCAGGATATTTTTGTGTCTCGCCTGCCTGTTTGTCATATGCGCCCCGATGAAAAAATGACAGAAGACGACGACCAGGCCACCAAAAACGACGCCAAAGACGACACCAAATCTGAGCAGAAAACGATTTAAAAACAATAACAAAATATACTGGTTTTTAATGTAAATTACTGGTCTCTGTTTAAAAGTTGTTGCCACCACCACCTCGGAAACGTCTAGCCTCCACGTGTGCCTTGGCATTGTGGTCATTCTGGTGACTAACTCTTACCCACCACCCGCTTGAGTGTCTGCTGCTGTTCGTCAGTAGTGAGTAGAGAGGAAAAAAAAGCAATGTGCAGAAATTGTCACCACAAATACGACAGGCACACAATGGGCATTCACGGGAAGTGTTCTAGGGAGCGGCTATTGTTGGGCAATATTAAGGAGTTATTAAAGGCCACCCGTGTCCCGAAACGCGGGGATTCGTTGACAATAGACCCTAGGTAAATACAATCCCCGAACCAAATGCCGCCCCAGCATTCTTTTCACGTGTATCGCCTTTTACTTGCGTCGCACTGGTGCCACGAGAACGGCTGGTGTCCGCCAGGGAAAAGACTGCGTGTGGCTGCCTGGGCTTCGACGACAGTAGAAGTCATGACTTGACGACGCAGTTTAGTCAGGTGATGACTACTCGACTACTGCCTATGTCTTTTTTGTGACGATGACCTCTTTTTGTGCTCTTAATAAGGGAGCTCTTAAAGCTGATTAAGGGGAAAGGGGAAACCCCGGATTCTCGTCGGCAACGCCGGCATCGGCGCCGGAGCAAGCACGGCTGGTGCTTTTCTTTCGTCTGGAGCCCCCCCCCACTCTGATCGTGTCTTGGCACATCGCGTCCGATAAGGGTTTTCTTGGTGCTAAGCCTCGTCTGTCTGTCTCCTCGCTGGTGGCGACTCTTGGCAGGCTAGTGCGACCCTCACTGAGGGCCTCGTAACGGCTTAGTGATAACTACAACTATGCTCACTTGTTAAGTCCCATTGTTGGAATATTTACTTTTTGGCAAACTAGAAGTTTTCACAAGTATCCCGTAGAAATATCTTACTGTTACGATTAGAAATGTCTTACGGTTACTATTAGCTACAGGGGGTGGTGTTCCATGAGGTTCGCGCACATTCTCCATCTCTGTGGGCTAGGCGCGCTATCGCGCCTAATCTGCCACGTTACCACCTGTGCTCACCACCCATTAACCAATGAAGCCGTCCACCTGGCTCGTTGCGCTAGCAGCTACGCTAGCAGCAGCGTCAATTGGCGACGATCTCAAACAAGCTGACGCTCTCTTCGCTCTGGAGGGTCCCACCGCTAACGTTCTCCACCACTATGACCGGGTGGTGCGGGACATGGAACGCGCCGATGGCGTCGATACTCCGACTAAGAGTGCTGTCTACTTCAAGCGAGGTTTGATTGCTCACCTGCTTCAGAAGGACCCCGTGGCGATTGCTGATTTCCAGAAAGTGGTGCAACTAGACCCCACCCACGCCCAGGCGTCGCAGCGGCTCAACGAGCTCTACGTCGAACAAGGGCTGTGGGACAGCGTGGTGGGGTTGGACGACGCCCGTAAGGAGTGGAACCAGCTCCTCGAACTGGCAAAACAAGCAATGGATAAGGGTGAGTATAAAGAGGCCCTCCAGTTCCTTACTCCCGTCACCACTACTTCTCCCAACCATTTGGAACTGAATCGCCTTCGGTATACCGCTGCCAAAAACTTATACCAACTGGATAAAGCCGTGGTGGTGGCCGACGAACCGATATCACGCATCGTTACCGACTCGTTGGCCCATTTGCTTAAGATCTCGCCCAATGACATCGACAACTACCTCGAGTTCGCCATCCATATGCTCTTCAACCAAGTGGAAGTACAAGCGCTGAAAAACACTGCCCGAGCGTGCTTACGGATTAATAACGAGTTCGCTCAGTGTGGTCAGCTTTCGAAATTGCACAATAAGTTTTCTGATTTATTCACGGCGCTTGAAGACTATCTGATCCTTATGGGCCACTACTACTCGGTGGAAAACCAGCACGAAGTGGAAGAACCCAAGTTCGACTGGCCGACGCTTCACAACGTGCTCTTTGTTGAGCCGGTACGCAAAGTCAACCGTCGTGACCAGGGTAAGTGGAGCAATAACTACGAGTACTTGGAGTGGGTAGCCAACAACTATGATGCCTCGACGTCTCAATTCATCACCGATCTTCGCCGCATGGCGTGTGAAGCCAAGATTCAAACCGGCGACACTAAGGGAGCAAAGAAGTTCTGCGACCAAGTAAACGGTCCTTTCCTTCCTCGAGACATCCCTGAAATTGATTCACTCATCAAGAACAAAAAGTTCCAGGAAGCGAAACGGATTTTGGACCAGTACGCCCTGTCTAACGTCGGCGAACTGCAATTGTTCAACGACCGCTACCAAAAGATCGACGAGTGGATGAGACAAAAGCAGCGTGAGCGCCAACGCCAACAACAACAACAGCAACAGCAGTACCAACAGCAATACCAACAACAATACCGTCAACAGCAGCAGCAACGGGCACCGCCGCGGGCGAGATCGCCACCGAAGCACGACTACTACAAGATCCTTGATATCGGTAAGGATGCCGACGAACGAACCATCAGAAAGGCGTACCGCACCCAGACGCTTAAGTACCACCCGGATAAGGCCAAGAGTCTGGGACTCACGCCGGAAGAAGCCGAGGCAAAGATGCAAGAAGTTAACAAAGCCTACGAAGTGCTTTCCGACAAAGAGCTTCGCGAGCGGTACGATATGGGCGAAGATCCCAACGACCCTGAGTCTCAGGGTGGTGGCGGCGGTTACCCCGGTGGGTTCCAAGGTGGTTTTCAAGGCGGTAATCCGTTTGGTGGCGGTGGCGCCAATATCAACTTCGACAACATCTTCAAGCAGTTCTTCCAACAGCAGCAACAGCAACAACATCGTGGTGGCAGGCCTAAACCACGGAAGAAGAAGTCCAAGGGTAAGGCTTAAGTCTGTGTGTATTTATTGTAAGACACCGTCATTTACTGTATTTAGTTTAACAATAGTCTGCCATCACATAAACGAAATTACCAAGGGATTGTTAACATACAGCATCCAATAGATACTTTAGTGATATAGAATTTTATGGTTGAGTTCTTTATCTGTGTTGAAACATAACCAAATTTTGTAGTGCACAGTAAGTAAAAACTAATCGTCAATTGCCAGCCCATGTTGTTTGGTGATGTTTATTGATGCACTCACTGGTATCTCACACGAGTGTACGCCTTTAAGCTTATCTGCAGTACGAGCGCCGCTGCTGCTGTTATCAATAGTGCGGCGCTTACTATGTGGCTCTCTTTAATAACTCCCTCGGCGACATAATGAACCCCACCGCTCTTTTACTGGCGGCAGCCGTCGTCGCTGCTCTCCCCGTCGACGTTCTGTCGTGGTTCCCTTCGTTTGACTCCGTCGCCGATGCCATTGACTTCGAAATGCCGGCTTTCCCCTCGTGGGGCCACTCGTCAAAACCCGAGGTCAATACCCATGAACTCCAACTGTTAATCACTGAAGACGCCCTCAGATACCGAGCCGAACAGTTGTTTAACATTTCCAAGACGCTGATCGGCAAGTACGGCCACCCCACTCGGGTGATTGGCTCGCCAGGTCACTGGAACACCATCAACTATATCTTGAGGGAATTGATCAAATTGGACGGCTACTACACGGTGAGATCACAAGCGCTTAATGCCATTGACGGTAAAGTTAAGCTGGTGTCGTTACTTATTGAGGGAAGACAGCCTAAGTCGTTAATTCCTTTCCGGGTGAGTCGAGGCACTGAGGACGGCAGACCCGTCCACGGCAAGTTGGTGTTGGTAAAGAACTATGGGTGCAACCCTGAAGACTTCCCCAAACACCTGAAGGATAACATTGTTTTGATTGAGCGTGGTGAGTGTCCATTTGGCGATAAGCTGTTTAACGCTGGTCAAGCGGGGGCTAAAGGGGCAATCATCTTCGATAAGGAAGCCGTCAATGGCAGATTAAACGGCAGAGAAGGCGAGATTGCCACGGTATCGATCCTGAAGGCTGATGCTCAATCTTATATCAACCGGCTTATTGAAAACCCTACGGCGGAGATTGAGACCACTCTCTACGTCGATGCCTACGTCAAGAACGTTACTACTGTTAACGTGATTGCTGAGACTAAACAAGGTGACCACAACAACGTGGTGTCACTTGGGGCCCATCTGGACTCGGTGGAAGATGGTCCTGGTATTAATGATGACGGCTCAGGTACCATCTCTCTTTTGGAAGTGGCGAAGCACTTGACTAACTACAAAGTGAACAACGCCGTGCGCTTTGCCTGGTGGGCCGCCGAAGAAGAAGGGCTTGTGGGGTCGACCTATTATGCTGAGCACTTGTCGCCCAAAGAGAACGAAAAGATCAGATTGTTTATGGACTATGACATGATGGCGTCGCCTAACTACGAGTACGAAGTGTACGATGCCAACAACAAGGACCACCCCGCCGGTTCCGGTGACCTCAAGCAATTGTACATTGACTGGTATAAGGAACAGGGTCTCAACTATACCCTTATCCCCTTTGATGGGCGTCTGGACTATGTTGGTTTCATTGAAAACGGTATTCCTGCTGGTGGTATTGCTACCGGTGCCGAAGGCGTCAAGTCTAAGAAGCTGAAGGAACAATTCGGTGGGGTTGCTGGTGAATGGTTTGACAAGTGCTATCATCAATTGTGCGACGACTTGTCTAACCCTAACTACGAGGCGTGGGTGACCAACACTAAGCTCATTGCCCACTCTGTCGCCACCTACGCTAAGTCGTTGGAAGGGTTCCCCAAGAGAGAAAAGACCAAGTCGCTGGAGTCCAAGTTCTCGAGAAGAGGCCAATGGATGTATGTTTAAATGATTGGAAAAAACGGGGGGTTTAAAAGTTGTGGTTATACAAAAAGCATAAGATTTACACATGTCTTTTATTTAGAAATGAAGTTTACAAACGTATTGAATTCAACGTAAAAACATAACGAACGCTTTATGAGTATCAGCGACAAAAGCGTCCACTTCCCCACCAATTGAATCTGTCTGACAGTCTTTACGCAGAATCAGATTTGCAACCAGGTAACACTTGGTAACGACTTTATCGAGGAAACAACAGCACGTTTACCAAATGCAGGGAGGGGGGCTCACCGTGTCAATATCAGTGACTTAGTGTGCGGGGTAATGAAGCTTAAATCAGACCTATAAAGGTGTCATCAGCCATATCAATATCGCTACCACAAATGTCGATGCCCCAAAGATTCACCGAACTGCCCGTCGCTGAACTCGCTGTGCCCGTGGCGCCCACTCCCTACTCATCGATTATTGATTCGCCTGAGTTCCAAAAGATTATGGAAAAGCTCGACAATGACGAGGATCGTCGGAAGCTCGTTGAAATCATGGAAGATGACGAATTGGCCATGCAAAAGGTGAAAAAGGCTAAGCTTTCCAGCAGTGTCTGGTTGACTATTGCCAATTTGAATGCTTCTGTGTTGTTGCCTCTGGCCCTTGACCAAAGAAACCGCCATAAGCTTTTCGTCGGGCTCTATGAAGTACGCAGTTTCGAGAAGTACAACGAAAACCCGATGCACAACGTTCTTGAGCAAATTCTGAAGGGGCAACGTTACGACATCGACGAGGCAAGAGAAATGATGTTTAAGATGAAGGCTGACACTGTGGGTAAGATCAAGGACGTCTACCACAGCCTTCAAGGCCCCACTCCTGGGCAGCTCGAATACATCGACAACGCTTTGGACAACGTGGTACAAGCCCAGGTGTCAAACCATTATGAAGGATTGCAAAAATACCGCGAGACCATGATGGATAAAATCATGCGCTATAAGCTCCCGCCGTCGATTTTGTCGGAAGCGTTCTTGCTCGTCCATGAATTTGAATCTGCTGTGGACGCTGAGGATGAGATTAGCATTCAGGCGTTGACCACTATCATGAGCCAACTCTCTGTCAACTGATCAACTAAGTCACAGCTTTTCAAAACTTTGCATAATGCCAGTAATTAATCCCATGGATCACAACTGACACATCCTCTCGCCTTAGTAGCATACATTGCAAATGTCCATTAAGTATAGCCCATGGTCGACAACATCTGATTGGACAATTTTGAGCATCACTCAATTTTATGCTTCCTTTGAGACAGTGAGCCACAATTCAGGTACAGCTCCGTACTAACCATGCAAGCAACTCATTGTTGTAAGTCTGAACTTGCATGAAACTCCATGAAACTCCATCACCTTCAAAGTCGGTCAAGCATCATGGCAAAGCAATTGCAATCGCCTTCAACATCAATCTGCTATTATAAGGGACAAAAGCAACATCAACCCAAAGCATCTGATGAAAAAAGATGATTGAGTGGTCACCAGTGGAGTTGTGGAAGTGTACAACCTTCATAATCGCCGTCAACGAGGGAATCACGTTGATGCATCTCGAGCTCGGCGGAGAAATCCAAACACGGTAAAGTATCGGTCTATCCTCAAGAGATGTAATAAGAATATCTCAATTCGTCATTGTTAGCACTTGTTTGGCGACTTATCGATGAACTGATTCCTTAGCACATGTCTGTGTTTGTTAATCCTCGTTGATGCTCTCACTCGTAATATGAAATGGTGATGGTTATATGCACACCCAGATCTCTCTACTGGTGATGATAACTCTTGACTCTCATAGTCAGTTTCCCGCATAAATTTGTAATCAGCACTATATGCTATTGTTAACGATGATTACATGTTCTACTTTGAATTTTAGGTGCAACTTGTGGAAATGCCTTTGACTCCACTTTACTCGGTAACCATAGGCAAGGAAATATTAGCACACTATATGTAAGAAAACCACCCCACGTTATCTAACTCCCACTATCATGTCAAGCAAACCGTTCCGTGGTTACCATGTCACCCGCCGTTTGCTTAGCGTACCTCCTGATCGTTGGGGTCCCACCTCCCGCTCTAATCAAGAATTTCACGTCAACAACGACGAGGTCAAGCTTGAAAAGGGTAGAGCCGATCTGTTGAAAATTGATTGGGGCCGTGTTGGATTCAGCAACGAAAGAATGCCGGCTCTCCGACGCAAGATTTACCGTCAGGGTACTGAGCAATTGGTAGGACGCTCTATAGCTCCATTTAGAGGAAAAGTGGTGGAAAGAAACATCCGCCAGATTGAATGGGCGGTGGATAATTTTATTGTCTTACAAGACATGAAGTTTGACAAGAAACAGATCCGAACCTGACATTTATATCGTGGAGCGTGATGTATCTGAGTTCGTTATCCTCAAATACAGTCGCCTTATGTTGATTTGTCGCTGTGACATTTGGCTCGACAATAGCCAGAAACTCTTCTCAAACGTCGAAGTACAGTTCGTTATCAACTGTTTTAATAACTTGGTTTTCGGTCCCTGTCGAGTTTACATTGAAGATGGGCCTAGGATTCAGAAACGCTTGATTACTCTCAAATGGATTGACCCCAAAACTAAGGAAAAAATCACCTGGGAAGTCACTAACCTCACCTTAGTCTATGGGCTTCAGGTTTTGAATCACAAATCTCGATATGGTGTGTGTCCCTACTGTCCTCAGATGAAGACATTTAGCACGAAATCTTCAGGCTACATTTTCCACGTAATCCACCATCACGGTGAGTTACGCTCGGGCGAGCTTGTGCCCGACCCAGCTTGTGCCCGACCCAGTGATGGTTGACGAGTACGTATGTTGCCCCATCTGTGGCGACTTTCTATACCAGGGTCCTGGTCAGAAGTTTCATATCGCTTACTTACATCACTTTGTGCAATACGGGGTCCACCACAGAGAGATTGAGCAACAATGGATCGAAAGTGATGAGTCTCCTCGTCCAGGCTTCGCTAAAATAGTCGATGTAATTGAGGAAGAGGGTGCCGATGGCGATTTCATTGAGATTAGTCGCCATTACTATGACGTCGATGATACATCAAGTCTAGACAGAATGAGGATTGATTAGTTGCTTGTGTGTATCTAGAATACGTAAACCTGTGGATGAGTACACTAGAATAATATGTAGTTTATTGTTGATGACGGTATCAAAATTGGTACTATCGATTTCGTTCAGAAGCAGTTTCTGCCTCTCAGCGTTGAGATGAAAGTTCTCCGAGAATGGTATCGACCTACACCTGATTCTGAATCAATTAGATAAACTCTGTTAGATGATATATGCTTCACAAATGATGTTAACTACGCTCTCTGATGATTTGAAGATTGGTGCGACTCAAGGTCGCTCGGGAGGATGACGACCAAGGTCTAATTTCTTCATGTAAATTGACGCCGGCTGTAGGCTGAATTGCACCTGGTCTTGATCGACCTCATCCATCAACTTGAAAAATTCGAGTTGATTGGTTGTGTCAAACTTCAAGGTCCCACGACGCCCCCACACTGTTACTCCCAACTGCTTCACCGAGGATGGTACAGGGAATGTGTCCTGGTAGTATTGAAGTCCACCTTCAATAGTAAGCGATCGGAGTTTCGTGCAACCCTTAAGTTCGGGTACCTCGGATTCGTCGTCAACGCTACTCTCCATTGGCTTGCTCAACTTGAGCGAGACCTTCTCCACCATGACTGGGACCTGGTCAATCTCCTCGCAACGCAACTCCTTGCAAGTGATTCCCTGGCCACTAATGCTCATCAAACGAACGGAGAGTTCCGTCGCGTCAATCTTGAATTCACGAGGGAGGACACAGGCCAGCAAGCTCACTTCGTCCGCTGAAATTGACAAACACTTGAGTACCATGCTGCTCAACGAGATTTGCTTCATGCGTTGCTTGAACACCATATTCAGAGGCACGTCGAACAACATCACCTCATTGAGATTGTCGAAGCCATTTTCAAAAGGAAACGGAAGCTTGGATAAGTAGTGTAAATCTTTAAGCTTTGGAGCAGCAATGCAGTTGAAAGCAGTGAATTCCATCATGTATAGATTGGTGAGATTGGGACACTCAATGGTGACAAAGGAGGCGATCTCAATCAGCAACGAGAGGAGCGTCTTTGACTTGGTGATAACGTAACTCGTGAATGGATAATTCTCCCGCTCCCACCGACCGTGGGTTTGGCTCTCATACGAAAAATGCTTGATTTGGGGTGGGATGCCTTCGACCGGGTTTGGAGAGAAGATCAGGAGGTCAACCAAGTTAGGGGGTAAGGGGAAGGTTTCGGTGAGCGTTTCTCTCAACTCAAAGGCGAGTTTGGTGACATTCTGAAGCACTCCAAGATTCGATATCATAAGATTGGAGGCGTTGAGGTCTCTCAAGTTCGCGAGTTGGGCACTAGTAAAGAGCTCTTCCACCGTCTCTGCCCAGTCCAGCAGCCAGACGAACACTTCCTCAAGTTTTGGAAGACGGTTGGTGCGGAAGGATGCATGGTTGTGCACTTCAAGTTCCCTCAAGTGCTCCATCGTCACTCCCGTAGGGATATCGCCTTCACTGGATCTTTCAATTTGGGACCAGCGCACGTTGTCCACTTGGTAGCTATCAATGATTTTGAGGTTCACCAAATTCGATACATCGAGCCGCGGTTCATCTTCTTTGACGTAGTAGCGGAGATCAATGACCAGTGGCGGCAACCGCACGCCAGCAACAAACCGGGTGAAATCAAGGTTTACCTCAGTAAGATTGGTATAGTGCACAAGGTCAAGTAAGTCGTAGCACACACACTTGCTGAGGATGAGAGACTGCACCGACGTGGGGATATATTCTTGCTCGACCGCTGAGCTAAGCAAGCGGAGCTCAGTCAACCGGTCGCCGAGGCAGCGGAAGTCAGGGTGGTGGCGGGGGATCATATCGATATTGAATGAATCAATGTCCAACGCCACCAGCTTGTATGCCATGTGGGCAAGGTAGCCAAGGGTATAATCAATATCGGAACGCGAACATCTGACTTTGATATCACACGGAGGTAGCTTAGCAAGTGTATCAAAGTCAATCACATCACTGAGGTTGCCGATGACCACGACCGCGGGGCTCACTCGGACCTTACATGAGTCGAGATACAGGGCAATCTCCTTGGCATAAGGTAAGGGGTAGTAGGCAATGTAGAGGTAGCACACCGAGGCCACGTCGGCCATGGAGAATATGAGACGGCCCACTTCAATGGGGAGTCCTGGTAGCGACGCTGGCTTGACTGTGGTGTCAGTGGCGGCGATCATAGGGACCATGGCGCTCATATCAAGGGGAGGCCACTCAGCAATCGGACAATGACTGGGGATAGGAACTGGAGAGCCAAGTGCTAGGCTGATTGAAAAGGAACAGGTAACTTATTTATACTGAGCAGAAGGCTATCCCATTGTCTTTTCAATCGTCTAGACGACTTGTCGTGTGCAGGCGAGTGATCGTGTTGACGAGCGGTGATCGACTAAACGAGTATGTGTGCGGGGCGACCCAGCTACCAACTACTAACTACGAGACATTAATGGTTTTAGAACAAAATGTGTGTAAATTGTTTTTAAAATGTAAATGCAGTTGAGATGGTTTGTTTTCGTGAATTTGTCGTATCTGGTAGAACAATGGTGCTCTGGGTATCAAACGTGAATGAGGTGGTGCAAGTCTGGTAAAAGGGTTGTATGAGTTAGGCTTGTATTTCTGAGGCCTCCTTGGCCATTGATTTGACAATTGGAGAAGCCTCTTTCTTGATTTCGATGTTTTCTTGCTTGACTGCAGCCACCACGTTAATGCCATTATTCAAGTCACTTAAATCACTGGCAAACAACACTGACTGAGCCCAGCCGGCGTAGTCGCCAAATATATCAACAAAGTGTTGGCGGATCCCCTGGTACATCGGCTTTGAAAGAGTCTTGACGTCGCGTTTACCCTTATAGCGATAATCACGTAACGCGATCTGGTAGACATGGGTATCCACTGGAACCACGTGGTGCTTATCAAGAGCCATAAGACAAATACAGTCAGCCACTTTCGGACCCACTCCACTGAGCTCAAGTAAATATTCGTGAGCGTCTTCATAAGGGTCACCTCGTAACGCTTCAAGTCTCTCCACGCTGTGAGTCAGCGTCATCAACTTCGCCGTCTGGTGAATATATTTCGCTCGGTAGCCAAACCCAAGTTTACGAAGACGTGCTTCAACATCTGACGCCGCTAACTCCTGGGGACGAGGGAAACTGTAGAAAGAGTGACCATCATACTCGGCCACTTTATGGCCAAAATTGACACAGAGAGCATCACACATCTTCAGGATCCGCTTGACATTGTTATTAGACAGACAGATAAACAGCACCGTCGTCTCCCACGGGTCCTGGCGCAAGATTCTGATACCAGGGAACCGCGTAAACGGCAGCGCTGATTTCGATGGGTATTTGGCGTGCTGAGCCTCCCAGTGACGATAAAGAGGCTCCAACTTCACGTCCAAATTAAAGTAGTCAGTGATAAACGCTAAGGTGCCCTCGGCATCAGGATCAGCCTGCCTCATCACTTGCGAATAGTAGAGCGTATTGGCATCCTGTTTGAGGAGCACCACGCGATCGGCGAGGGCAAACAGCCACACGCCGTTGATGTGGTGCCAGCGGAACGTCTGGCCACAGCGGAGGACTTTGGCAAGGCTGAGCTCGGCGGGAGATAGCGGGAGGGTGTGCCACATGTTGGTAGTATGGAGTCGCACGCGACGCGTCCTACTATGGTTAAGCTCTCTGAATTTGGATGACTAGAGGGGAAACATGAGGTATTAGAAGTGAAATTTTGAGTGTCAGAAGTCGTTTTAACTATCAAGTCGATGAGGTGGTATATTCTTTATTGTGAGACTGAAGATATGGTGGTAGATGGAGAGACTCATCCAAATCCACCAGATCGTTAACAATACCTTATACATAAAGACATAGTACCTGGTCAACTTGGTTAAATTTGATTCCTATTCAGTATGATCACAACTCTAGTGAATATGCTACACGGAGAACTTCTATTGTTGGTCGCTTCCATTGAGTATCATCGTTGACTATCTCTACGCTTATTGCATCGGTGAACAGGGAATGGCGGAAGTTTTCTCAGGTAATACCGGTTTCATCATCTATTATTAGATCCAAAGCAAACACTCCCGTTAAAAAAAGTGTTGAAAGAAGCACCGGCTTTTCTCATTAAGGTTGTACATCTCACTTGAAACATCCTCACCAGTGTTCAAATCTTATACGATGCTTGGTCTATACAGCACTATAGTGATTTTGTGGTCCACGGCAAATAGAATCAAATATGTGAAACCTAACGACAAAGGGCTTGTCAAAGGTCCCCATGGGTACCGATGTGTTTTACGTAAGAATCTAGTACTGCCGCCACCATTTGAAACCAAAAACTGACAATTATCAGCGCCCAAAAACCTATAAGCCTCCTGCCGGTGGTGCCGAGTATTATCGTATCCTGGTCCCTTTTTCTTTTCATCGATAATTCGCTTCAGCTTAGTCTGTTCGCTTGCGCGCTGCGATGACGTCACACAAAGCCCCATTTTGGCACGACGTATGATTGGCGTCTGTACATAGTTTCTCGAGAAACGCGAGGGACACTGGCCCCGGCCCTCCTGTTTACGGGATATATTACCTGCAGCGGGGCCCGCCACCAATAAACGTCTTCGCAATCGCGGCGACCATCCACCGAAGGGTGGCGCCTCGAACACTGGAGATAACCCTAGTGGTTGAGAGCTAAAGAAGGGCTACGCACAAGTGGCGCCTTCTAATGCAGAGAGCACAAGTGCTTGCAGTGTTCCTCGCTCCCAAAGCACGTGTTGCCCCACTTTCTAGTGGGCCAGAGCCACCCTCGATAATTGGCTAGCTGGCGGTTCCCGTTTAAGCAACTTAGCCCGTGCCTCGAGGAGGCGCGCGGATCTGCCGACGTCGGCGCCGAAAAATGGCGACTGAAACTGGCGTAGGGCCATGACTTTTGAGTCCAGATTAGCGGTGATTGAAGCAGTAGGACGTCTCCACTCCTGCGGCACTTGCCATGGGTATCTCGCCAATGTCTGTCGTGGCCGGGCCCTGTGGTCGTCGGCTGTGTGCACCACTGCGTCGACACCCTGTGCGCGCCAGGGGCACCCCTCCACAGCAACCGTAGGCGATTGCTCCATAGGGCGATAGAAAGCACACCCCCACCCGATCGACTAAGGTTACGATACATGACAAACCCTTCGTACTGTTATATCTCCCATGTCATTGGGCTAATTAATTGCCGACACTGGCTTGTGCCGGTGCCGTCGCCCGGGGCTCCGGAAGCGTCGGCAGCGTGTAAATGCGGGCCAATTATGGCTGCAATTTCGTCGACAGCAATCCGGCATAATGGCGGGGGCCCCGGTATAAGAACGCCGGTTGCTGCTACGCTAGTCTCACCCACCCAACCACTTAATAACCATGTTCAGACAAGCGACTCGTGGTGCTGCTCTTCGTCAATCGGTCCGCCTCGCCCCCCGGGCCCGCGCTCCCATGGTGAGATACAACTCGCTGAAGCTGGGCGACAACTTCTCCGACGGCCCCAACGGCAAGCTCGGCATCCTCGTCGCCCTCGGTTTGATCGGCGGTGTCGGCTACTGGGCGTTGCTGGGCCCCAAGACCCACACCCGCGACATCCCCATCAAGGACGCCGCCGGCAACACCGTCGGCGAAGTCGAGGAATCGTGGTCGGAGGTCAACTACGACCAATTGCTGAACCAGGTGTTCGACTCGTTGGCCGGGGTGTTGGGCAAGGACAACGCCCAGCAGTTGAAGAAGCAGGTCGACCAGGCGATCAAGGACGGCAAGAAGATTGCCAAGGAGCAGTGGAACGACACCAAGGAGTTCTTTGCCCAGTCTGACAGCACCGACACCTTCAACGAGATCTTTGACCAGATCAACGGGGTGTTAGACCCTAAGCAAGCTAAGGATTTGAGAGAAAAAGTCGAGTCGAGCTGGAACCAGGCCAAGCAAGCCGGTAAGCAGGCTTTGGAACAGGGCAAGCAGGCGGCCAACGACACTGCCAAGAAGGCCAGGGATGCGTTCGACTCGACTGCCGGCAACCAGAAGGACGCCTACAACGAGATCTGGGACCAGATCCAAGGGGTCATGGGTAAAGGTGAGGCTGAAGACTTGAGAGCTAAGTTGGACCTGGCGGCGAAGTCCGTTAAGGACACCGCCCAGTCGACGGTGAACAAGGCGTCGAAAGCAGTGAAGAAGGCCACCAACACCGACGACGACACCTACAACGAGATCTTTGCCCAGTTGGAAGGGTTCTTGGGTAAGGAGCAGGCCGCGGACTTGAGAAAGAAGTTTGCTGCCACCGCCAAGGACGTCAACAAGAAGATCGAACAGTTCCAGAATTCGGACCAGGCCAAGGAATTGCTGAAGGACTTTAGAGTCGCCGAGGTCATTTCCGAAGAGTAAGTATTCACGAATAGACGAGTAGTACTGAGTGAAAGTGGTAGGGGCACGACCGATACTAGTAGACAGCTTCATCGCGCGCATCACTATATATACTAAGATGGACCTTCGCCAGGACCTTATACTATACAAGGACGGCTCCATTGTGTCGCCTACGGTGTCCAAAGAGGGCGGCTATCTATCGGTAGTACGCCATGCTCCGGGAACTTACCCTCTGTGGTTCATTGCTACGCTATTGAGTGTGGCGGCTACCAACACCGCTAAGGGGGTCAATAACTCGCTCAAGCCACAACCCGGCGCTGGTGCTACGTTAGTATCGTTTACCAATAACCGTGATTTCTATGCGCTGGCGTTCAAACTGGTGGGCCCCCTCAAATTTGAGTTTATTGACTGTTTCAGCCACTTGTTTGATAAACAGATACCCGACCCGGAAAACGCTACCACACTGATAGCCACTTTATTCCAACAAATCCAGAAACAGGCTAAAGGTGTACTTGTGATTGATGGTGTGGAATTGCTTCAAATGGCCACCAATATCCTGACGATTAAGCTCACTTTCCACTTACAACTGCTTCTCAAGACCTGTAGTCAAGTGTGGGTGATTACCAGTGACCCGCTGACTGCCACGGAAGAATTATACGAAAACTTACTTTGGCGAAGCCATTTAGTGGTCCATTTCAAGCCCCTTGAGACTGGTCGCGCTAAGGATATCACGGGGCTGATGACGGTGACGCGTGGGCCGGTGCCGGCGCCGACCCCGGTGGCCGAGGAAGAGTGGATCTACCACTTGACCGCCAAGGAGTTTAGGATTAGTGTGAGATAACCATTGCAGCAAGTAAAATCCATATCATTGATATCTCCCAAGGGGACATCTGAGCATCACGTTACAGCTTATATCCAACATATAATTGCATCTATGATCATCTGGTATTTTTGTTTAATAGAAGAGGAACACATTTATTAATTAATTAGATAAAAACCGATTACTTTGCTAAAGCTAGAGCAACATGGCGACCATCGCCACCATCGCCGCCACCAGCAGCGCCAACTGCAGACCCATGTTGGTTTCCTGAGTCACTTCAGGAGGCACAGAGCCCGCAGAAGACGACGCCACCAGCGACACTTCCGAGGTCAAAGTGGAGGCAACAGTGGAGTTCCTCGACGGGAAGGTGGTCTCAGCCAACGAGTCAGTAGATTCAAGCGAGGTTTCAATGGTTCCCACTGAGGTTTCAATGGTTTCCACTGAAGTCTCAATTGTTTCCACCAAAGTCTTGATGGTTTCCTCTTCGGTGACAATGACGTCAGTAGCAATAGGGGGAACCGCCGTGGGGAGAGCCACTTCAATCAGAGGAAGCTCCACAACGGAATCAACCGATGCGCCTTCTTGGTCGCCATTTTGGTCGCCTTCTGTCTCCGCTTGGATGGTGGCACAGGCAAGCACTTGGCCATCGTGGTACACCACCACCGAACGGCCACCGATGTAGGCTTCCAGAGCCGGGTCCAACAGCAAGTAGGGGTCGATGTAGCTGTGTTCAAAGCAGGTCGCAGTGAAACGACCGTGTTTGCCGGAAAGGTCACCCACGGGGCAGCGAGAGTCGTCAGCTAAGGAGTCACAGTCGACGTTACCGGCGTGGTAAGGGTCAAACACGGCACCGGCGGAGTCACAGGTGGCAGCACCCCAGCCCACTGGCCGGTCGTGAATCTTATAAGAGAATTCACCGCCAGTGGCAGGCAACTTGGTCAAGTCAACGTGGACATTGACTTGGCCAGAGTCGCCAACGGCAAACACCACGAACCCGGACGCGGCTTGAGAACCGGCAAAGGGGAAGTCGGCGACGAAACGGGTGTTGGGGTTGGAGGTGACGACGGGGGCCGAGGAGGCGACGGCAACAGCGATGAGAGTAGCGGTGGTAATGAATTGCATGGGGAGTAAAGCAAAGAGAGTAGTGAGCAATATTCGATGAGATTTGCTAGTACTTATAGTTTGAGACGATGGTGAGGTTACTCTGGATGGTGTAGCGGTGGCGTGTACTCTGGGGGCGGGTGTACACCGTTCACCTATCTTTTGAGCTTAATGTACTGCATACAGTGACATGCTCTTTACTGACTACACAGAGCCTTTACCCCACCCAGCCAATTTAATTTTGTCACTATACAAATAAAGACGTCACTAAGCAGTAGATAACACCACAAAGAAACAGACAAATAGAACCTAAAATTTGCTGATATAGCTTAAACTATATAGAAACACCAGCCATATATTCAGTGACTCGTTTCTTTTTAGCTTCGAATTTCTTGTTGACGCCTGCGGGGTGTCATTTGGTCTGCGTGGCCCGATTGGGGGTGGTCGTGGTCGTGGTGCATGCGCGTGGTGATCATTTTGCAGCCAGCCAAGAGAAGGAAGAAAACACGGGAATCCACTCCCGTCACCGTATACGAACTAGCCAAAACCCAAGGCAATACTAAGTGAAATTTGACCCAAATCATTAGCTATTCCATTATATCAAACTTTGCTAGTTCATATCTTTTCGCCACGTATATGCCGACGACGCGATGAGGGCATCTCGTCCGACGCACCCCCGCCAGCAGCAGACAGCGGCTTAATTTTACTATGACTTACCTCGGTTGGCTTGGTTGAATTAGTCCCGCTGAGATCCGTGGCCAGCTTCCTTAGTGCTTACCCCCTAATTAGGCTCGTGTCATGTTATTGATGGGGGGCCCACGTGACGTAAGGCCTGTATACAGCCGAGCCGTTGGCAACGATGCCCCGGGCCTTAGTCACCACCGCCAGCTTCCACGTGGGATCAGCCACCACCACTCCCACCGTTACTGGCGACCGCTGCCTCCTCACCCATCCCCACAGTCGGCGCCGATGAAGTTTGGCAAAAACTTGCTCACCCACCAGATCCCGCAATGGCTGGTGTACTACATCAACTATAAGCTGTTGAAGAAGATCATCAACCAGGTCGCCACCACCGACGACCTCGAGCTGGTGCTTTCTCTTTTCTTCTATGAGTTGGACCGCAACGTCGAGAATGTCGACGAGTTCTATTCGATGAAACTGATGGAGTACGGCAAACGGATGAGACGGGTGGTGCTGGCGTTGGGGTATAACTCCCATACCCATAAGCTTACCAAAGAGATCGAAGTGAAAGACGAATTGGATGAAGTGGTGCTGATCTTGAGGGAAATGGCCACCACGTTGAGAAACTTACAGTGGTTCGGTGAGATTAACTACCGTGGTTTTGTGAAGATCTTGAAGAAATTGGATAAGAAACTTGGCGCCGACGCCGATAATAAGGCTACCTATCTCCACCTGCGCATTGACCCGTTACCGTTCGCTCGTGGCAAAGATGTTCAAGGTTATTTGGATACGATCCACTCGATCTTGGCCGAGCTCGGCGCCGACAACGCCGACGGCCTGGTGCTGCCGAAACACCCCGCCAACACTCGCCACGCGGAAATGACGGAAGCCATTCAAAATAAGGATTCGAAACAACTCCAACAATTGCTTTCAGCGCCGGAATCCGTGGGTGCTCGCGTGCTCACTTCTCTCTTGATTAAAGCCACCACGAGAAGCACTCCCGAGTGTATTGATCTACTCATTGAGGAATTAAAGCGGACTCAAGGGAACCCTTTTGCTGATAAAGCCGATATTTCTCGCCGTACCTTCTTCCACCAATTAATCATCCATTGGGGGAAACACCATGGTCCTGACCAGCCCTGTGACGGTCTTGAATACGTGTTATCCAAGTACGGCGACTTATACCAGCACGAAGTCATCCACAAGGACCTGTACCAACGTACGCCGCTCCACTATGCTGCTGAGTATGGTCTTAAGGATGCGGTTATTGTCCTTATTACATTCCTCAAACAACACAGCCTCATTGGAGTGGGTCTCCCCTTAGACCACATTGATACCTGGGGCGACCAGGACGGGATGACTCCGCTTCATTTAGCCGTGATTGGCCACCACCCACAAACTACTCGCAATTTGATTAAGGAGTCGGCCACCCCGTTACTGTGTCCGGAACTTGTCCTCTTGGCAGCAAGAAACCCTAGTCCCGTCATCGTCGAGGATTTAATCACTTCCGGAGGCATTGACGTCAATTACTCCGACCATGACCACCACGGGGAAACGGCATTACACATCGCTTGTAAGTATAACCACGTGGAAGTGGCTGAGTTCCTTTTGAGTAACGATGCTGACCCTGAGATTGGTGAACTGGTATTTGGGTGGACTCCCATCTTCATTGCTGCCAACGAAGGGTTCACTCGTTTAGTGAAGTTATTGCTTGAGTTTGGCGCTAAGGTCGATACCGTTGACGATTCCGGGTGGCTTCCCATGGAACACCTGTGTCTTCGTGGTCACTTAGATACCGCTGAGCTTCTCCGCCCAAGGGACAGTTCGTTATTGCTTTACGACATGTACTCTCCTGAGAACAATGTCGAGCGGAAACTCCCTGAAGAGCTCCACCGGCTGTCGCTGCTGGTGGACATTTTGCCCGAACACTCACGCAGTGTGTATAACAAAGTGTACCAGCAGTTGAGCCGCAAACCCAAGTCTGAACCTCAACCGATTAAGCTGTTTGGCCACAAATACTTGGGTAACGGGGAACTGATGGTGCTCATCACGTTAGGGCTGACGGATATGCGCCAAACACAGCTGCCAGTGACGTTACACGATGTGCTGCTTCCTCACACTCTGGCTCTCGACACAGCATTATCGTTGCTGATCACGTGTAAGCATCGTCGTACCAATCAAGTGGTGGACCAGCCGGTAGTGGTGGATTTACCGTTGGACGATTTCCATGCTTCTGCTACTGACCCCGTCACTTTCACTGTGCCCAGCTCGGTGGATGTGGACGACTTATCGGTACTGTTTGACCTTGTTCCCACCTACCAATTCCACCATCAACGCCAACTGCTTGGTAGAGCAGTAGCTTTCTTGAAGGATTTGTACACTCCGGTTGGGGCTAATCTTCGCTCTTTGCACCGTACGGTGACTCTTCCGATCATGGACCGGACCACTATGGACACTATTGGTGAAGTTCGTTTTGAATACCTCCCCATTTCCAGCTTTGGCCACCCGGCTATGGCGATTACTCCGACGGAAACTTACTGGAAACAATTGGTATCGACACGAGTGATTGGTCACCGTGGTTTGGGTAAAAACTTCAACCGCAAACTGCTTCAATTGGGTGAGAACACCGTCGAACTGTTCATCGCGGCTGCGTCTTTGGGGGCGCTGTACGTCGAGTTTGATGTCCAGTTGACTAAAGATATGGTCCCCGTCGTCTACCATGACTTCACCGTAGCGGAACTGGGGGTGGATATCCCCATGAACGCATTGACGTTGGAACAGTTCTTGGGCTTAAACGAAGAGAAATCCGATAAGGAAAAGCACCTGTTGGATGACGCCGCTCTTGTGGGCCTTCACAAGCCGAGACTGTACCCGCTGGCCCCCAATTTCCATGCTAAGCGTACTCCTTCAGTGGAAGATGCGATCGATGTGGAGTTCAGAGATACCATCAGTCGGCGGATGAAACTTACTAAGACGTGGAAATCTCAAGGTTTCAAGGGTAACGCCCGTGGTCTCTCAGTGGCGCTGAGCTTTGTCACCTTGAAAGAGTTATTCGCCAAATTACCGTCAAATGTCGGCTTCAATATCGAGCTTAAGTACCCGATGTTGGACGAGGCGGAAATGGAACAAATGGGAGAAGTCGCCGTCGATTTAAACACCTACGTTGATACTATCTTGAAGGTGATTTACGATGCTAACCTCACCAACCGCGATATTCTCTTCTCGCTGTTCCACCCCGACGTGTGTGTGCTTTTGTCACTTAAGCAACCTCTGATTCCCATCTTGTTCCTTACTGAAGCTGGTACTGCTCCCATGGCCGATATCAGAGCTCTGTCGTTGCAAAACGCCATTAGGTTTGCTAAGAAATGGAACCTCTTGGGGATCGTGCTGGCGGCAGGGACGTTGGTGAAGTGCCCTCGTTTAGCGCAAGTGGTGAAGCTGCTGGGCCTTGTGTGTGTCACTTACGGCGTGGAGAATAACGACCCGGAATTGGCCAAGATCCAGATGAAAGCCGGTGTGGACGCGGTGATCGCCGACCTGGTGTTGGCAGTAAGAGAAGGAATCCGTAAGGACCAAGAAAAGCTCAATGAGTTGGAAGAGTCGTCGAGAAGTATCAGTCCGGCGCAAACAGTGGTGGCGTAACCCCACTAACAAACAAAATCCCTTGATTCACACTACTTAATTTTTATAGACAAGGTTTGATAAATTCTGAAAGTAAGGCTTGTTAAGCTAGGCTATAGTAACCTCTCATTAGTCGTTAGATGCACATTCCGAAATCTCACAATCATTCTGAAAAGATTGGGTTTGTGGTTCGCAGATTTTCGTCAATTTGCTAAATTTTTGGCACAGTGCGTGGTGACGAGAAAATGAAGTATAGAGGAAAGTGTAATGGGCAATAGAAGCACGATAAAAGAGCGATCAATACATCTCTGTTGTCAAGTGAATCATAACAGTGATTGTATGGTAGCCAACATGTATATCGACGTTATAATTAAAGGATCAGTCTCGCTTAAAGATTTGTAGGTGAAACGCTCTACATTATACAAAACTCGCTCATGTTAACTCATACGTAATTACTTATTCATCAGGGTCATAGTCGGCTTCCAACAGTTCCATTTGCTTGGCGTCACTCGCGTTGAAGAAAGCGTTGGTGATGTAGAAGCGGCAGTTGTTGAAGTTGTTAGTGGTATTGCCAGCAAAAGCCGACGAAGTGGATTGGTTTTCAACCGATTGAGTGTCTTCCTCTTCTTTCACGCCATTAGAGTCAGCGTTGACGTTGTTGGCGTCACCTAATGAACCTTCGACTTCGCTCGACAGTTCCTTAATGGGGTCCAAAGAAGTCACCGCGGGGTACGAGTGGTGGATCGGGGAAGTTTGGGGTGATTCCACTTTCTCAACAAGAGAGGAGGCGGCCAATTTTTCATTCAACTCCACAACCAACGCCTCCTTGAGGTTTTCGTCAAAGAATTTGGTGCGGTGGTTCAACCACTCCACTCCAGCCAGGGGACCATTGCCAGCCGCCGCCGCCACCAAGCGAGCCAAGGCGGCCACGTCAGTGGACCCGTCCTGGTGGTGTTGCAAAATCTTAAGCACGGCTCGGTCAGCAACGTAGAAAAACCGATGGGGCACCGCTTGCTTTACCATTTCTTCCACATCTTCGGGAAACTTGTACCAGAACGAGGCCACCACTTCCCCCGCGTAGACACGAACATCTTCGCGTCGTAATAACCAGAAGATAAGCGATTGACGCTTAGCCGGCTCAATCAGCGTCATGGCGTCAGCATCGGCGAGAAGATGCACCGTGTGTAACACCACTCCGGCGAGCTTGTGTGGCGATTTCGTCGAGAGCACATGGATGGTGCCATTGACGTAGCCAACAACTTCGTGAGAAGAAACGCGGTAGTATTTCAAGTACCCGTTCAAGCTCTGGCACTTGCCCAACTTAATGTCAAGTTCAGTAACCAGAGACACCAAGTTGTGGAAGGCAGAGCCGAGGATCGGAGGGGGAGGCAGAGCGTACAGCATATCCGTAGAAGTATTGAATAAATGTGAGACGAGATGAGGGCCAAGGCCTGCTTATATACCGTGTCCGTCGTATTGTCGAGGGTATGCGTGACTATCGCCTTCGTATAGGCTTGTACGAATGCGGAATGAGATTGTGTAAGGTTCAATTGGGAAACCGAGATATACTTGTAATATTAATCTTACGTACCGCAATTTTGTATTTGACCCATTGGAATGACGTTTAAGGCATCGTGACAGTGATTTTACTATGAAGTTTTGTAAAGAGCACCCCCTTCGAAATCGTTTGGCGAATGCGAAATGCTAGGAGTTGGCTGAATTAACAGGGATCGCGGGTAGTCGTTTCTCATTAGATATTTGGCAGAACATTAAGAAGAAACAAGAGGTTAAGTCTGCTTATTGGCCTAAGTATCAGCAAAGTTGAAATCTCTCATATTGAACTCGTATGTACCTTAAATACCTTTCCTAAAATACTCATTTGATCCAATCAAAATGTTCCCGGGGCTTCCACTTCGTCATCCTCCAATACTTCATCCCTTAATACGTCATCCCCCAACGAAGTAAACAGGTCCAGATACTTCATGTTACCGCCAACAATGATCACTTTCCCGTGAAAGGTGCAGTTGTTGAAAACGCTTTGAGGCATTGATTCTTTGACCCGAGGAGAAGCAGGCTGTTCTTCTTGGTTTACAGCTTCATCAGTGTTCAGTTCCACACCAGCATTACCGATGCTAGTTGTAGCAGACGCTTCCAGAGTAGGAACATTGCGAGCGTCTACACGACTGACTTTGGTACACTTGATTGCGGCAGTGTCGTTGGAGGTGTCCTTGGGTAGAGAACAGGCTTCTGATTTTGTGCATTCAGCGAGCAACATGTCGATCAACGCCTCTTTGTGCTTATGACGGCACAACCACAATATCGCATGGGGTACAGAACTACCATTAGTAGCAAGTACAAGCCGATAAAGACGGGGAAGAGCACCAGGCAACGTCCAGTCACGAGTATCATTCATGATTTCATCGGTAGCCCAGCTAGCGCCATCACCTTGCTTGCTAGCTTTCATCATCGCCAGTGTGACATGGTGGGGAACTTGGTGCCAAAGCGCAACAATGGTCTTGACGGCGGTGTCTCTGACCGGTAGGGATGACGAGAGTATTTCCACAATGAGTTCTTGACGTAACAGCGGGTTACAGAGCATGATAGCTTCACCCTTGGCAAGTAAACTCACCATGTCCAACACCTCCAGGGCCACTCTTGTCGAGAACCCATCCCGTAACGCCGTGATCGCCCCCTTTACAAAACCGTCGACATCAGTTTGATCGAGAAAACAACGGGGTCCCAAAAGTGGCTTCATTTTCTTGCACATTTCCAACTGGAAACTAATCAGGGAGTAGTCGAGGCCCTCGGAGATGGCCTGCGCCATCGCCCGTTCGAACACAGCGCCAGCGGATGGCGTGGACGACATAGAGGTAAAGTAGAAAGTTTGATAATGGGGGCAAGGGGCTTATATAGTTGTCGCCGCGTATTGCCTAGAGGAAGGCGAGTCACGCCCTCTCGTTTAGCTTCACGCGATTATTCGGTATTTGGGGTTGTGACTTTTGGTACAGTCGCTCAATTTTGAAATTTAGACATGGAAACTATTTATACAATCTATAGCTTTCGAATGAATCCAATTAGTGGCCACAATACCGTCGAGTTAGTCCCTATTCCCTGCCCATACCTCCATCGTCGAAGCGCACATCACGTGGTTTAGACGAACGTACAGGGTTAAGGGGCTAATACAGACGAAGGAAGGGCGTAGAAGCGCTCAATGAACTCATGTAGCCGTAAGGAAATCAGCAGTAACGTGATTTGGCCGGCCCTACCTCATTAGCGCAAAACCATAAAGTCTTAATATCGATGATCTTTCATGTTTAGTCAAGTTAGTAGTAGGAGCCTGCGACGAAGATTTTCCCTATTGTTGCCTGTGCTCCACGGAATGTTTGGATGAGGAAGGAGAAAATAGTGATGGCGGGGAATGCAATAAAATGAGGATTGTATTATCATAGGTAATAAGTCATTTATGATAGCACGTCACCTCCAATTTGAATGATGGCTATATTAACCAACAGCCGTATCTACTAGAGTCCAAGACATCAATTTAATCACACACAACATCGACCAATTACTTCCTTAGCAATCAATTTGCCTATTCTATAACGAGGGAGGCGAACTTTTTTCGCAGCCAAGATTCTATGACGTCATCGGTGCTTATCGTTCCCCTCCCCCACACACCTCGGCTCTCACCACTACGAGTGATGACGCCTCCGATTACCACCACCACCAGTCCAAAATGAACGCTTGCACCACCAAAATGAAGGTTTTGCCACCATCTCCAGGGTCGCCCCAGCCACAATTCCAAGCGTGGTTCCCCCGACCACCTAAGGCCAATATCAACCACTCCCATCTATAAACTATTGGACGTTACAGTGGCCAACATCCAAAGTGGATACCGTCAATGACACCGAATTATAAAACAGTGATCAGTTTAGGGGACATTATTATGATGACAACAGATAATCTCCCATCAGGAGCCATTTATACGGCGCTACATCAACCACTATTTTAACGTCAAAAATACCAATTGTCTATATGCATAGGATGATTAAATAGATCAATGCAAGGCTCTCACGTGTTGCTGAAGCTCAGTCAAGTACTTATCCGGCAGTGCTTCCACCAAGCGGTCCATATACTCGACGTTCTCTCCCAGCGGTCCTTTCAGTTTCCTGATGACATTAGCGGTGTCAGAGATCAGTTCAGGGCCAACAAACAGCTCGTTTTCCACCGTGCCTATATAGATTGTCAGCATGATCACGGGGAGAGCGGTTTCAGAGTCAACATCAAGCTGAACTAATGCCGGGTGATCCAAGTCCAGCGTCTGGGTAACGTAAAAAGGAATATGGTGGGCAGTATACCCGTCCTGTTCCCTCACGTCTAGGTACTCCCTGACTTCGTCAACGTGCTGGGGCTCGATATAGTAGGCTGCTGCTTGTACGGGTAAGTCCGATGGTACGAGCTGATCGAGGGGTTTGGCCAGCTCAAACACGTGGTGGCCAGCAAACTGAGCATGTGTTTGAAGATCTTTGAGCAGGACCAAAGTCACCACTCGTCCTGGGGCTTCGGGAGTGCCGCGATGGTCGCTCGAGCTCTGCCAGAAGCGGCGGATATAGCCGTTGATGAAGCCCTCGACGCGGAACGCCGTGTGGGGAGGCGGCTTGAACATAAGCAGCCCGTAGCCGATGACCCAGCACCCTTTATCGGTGGTCATAGTGGATGTGGTGGGGAGGAGTGGCGGCAGCAGTGACTGTGGCTGATGCGGTCAATGAAATGTGGGTTACGCAGCCCGGGGAGTACTTACTAACAGACAGAAACGAGACACCAACATCATCCCATTAAAGTAAGATTTTAAAGCAAAACTACAAGCAATTGGTAACTTCTACTATTGTAAAAGTAACTGAAACTTGATAGACTATAGCCTAACTATATGGTGAAATGATGAAAACGTAGAGTATGGTTTTCACAAGTAAGTGATCTTCATGGCCATTTTCACGGTGTCCACCACACGATCCTTAACGGTGTTCAACGTGTTGCGGTTAAGCTTCACGTAGCGCAGAGCGATGGCCAACACTACCGCCACCACACCAATAACAAGACTATTATCCCGGAAATAGTTCTTGAGCAAGTCCAAAATGTGATATAGCCGTTGCGTAAGCAGTTGTACGTCTTGTGGAGTGGGTTGCCGTTTATTTATCGGGCGGTCCCCTTGTTGTCTCATCTCATTAAGCTTGACGTATTCAAGCTGGCGGTCGCGGTGTTGTTTGATCTGTTCGGCCTTCTTTTGCTTTGCCTCCAGCTCTTTCTTTTGTTTCAGCAATTGGTCCTGTTTGCGTTGGTTTTCCTGGACTTGTTTCCAGTCTTCTAATTGGTGGAGGTCACTGGTAGTAAACACGGGACACAGCCCCACAAACAGCTTAGCGTCTTCCCAGCGGTCTTGTTCCACTAACAAGTCAATGTATAACCGGGCCAAGTTCTTCTCGTGCTTGCTAGATTCCCGATTATACGTAAAAGTGTTGAGGATTTGACTGATTTCCAGTGTGAGAAGCGACAACACTTTTTTGCCCTTAGCCGCCAAATAGTAGTTATACAAAATTTCCGGCGGCACATTGCGGCGATTACCAAACAAACCTTCCACATCGCTGATTACTTGGTCGACATCAACGCCGGTTTCGAACGCCACCTCTTGTTCGGCGATAGTGGTGATTTCCGCGATGTATAACGAGATGATCTTGACGAGAAGCGTCTCCAGGATAAGTCCCCGAGGGTATTCTTGAATGGCTTGTCCGTAGAGCTGGGAGGCCACGGCAAACAGCTTTTCGAAGTTGCGGTTGACAAACAACTTGAGCGCTAGCTTGTAGTTATCCTCGAGCAATTTCGAGGGTAACACCAGCAGCGATGAAAGCGACGATGTCGATGAGTCCATTGTCAGTTTGCGGAAGACGATTGGGGTGTCGGTTGTGGAGGATAAGTATAGACGGATGGAGTGTCTTGTGAGAGGGGTGACCGTTGTGGGGAAGCGAGGGGTATATCACGTGCGAACGAGCCCGGGGAAAACGATATAGAGCGTACGTTCAATATTTGATCTATCTCGAAATCAAACAAGTACTAATTAATTATTATAAAGAATAGTTGAAGATGAAGCTGGTGGTGGTGTATATTTGAATCGGGAGTTCCCGCGGAAGATTTTGTGGGGTTGGCGTGGTGCCTCGGTCATGCGACACCCGCACTAAATCTTGCAAAAGCCAAGTGAGACAAGAGAGACTGAAGCGAGATCAATACTAATTATTCGCCTATAAAATGAAGGTATTCAATGAAAGTAGTAAGTTTTGGATTCTTTAATGTTAATCGAGTGCTATCAAAGTCGAAATCAGGTCGATATCCAAGCGGTGGTGATGATGGATTTTACCTTAGAAAGAGACTACTTGAGTCTAGTCGTAATTGATCTGATTGTGTGGAAGAATCGTGCAATTTACTACCCCGAGATTGTTTACTGAAATTGCACGCCCTTAGACTTTCAGCCGCACAAATCGCACTGCTCACTGTTTAGTCCCTGAGACGACCCTGAACCTCGGCAAATTCCAGATGTGGTACGGATTGAGATCTAGCTAGATCTCTTATCGAAAATGGAGCTTTCACCAATCTATGGGTATCATCGAAACTGACTGTCATTTGTTATTAACAGTTTCCCTTTCGTTCATGCGCCATGGGATGGCTTGATGAGTTGGTCAACGAATCCCGGCGGTGATCCACTGTGTGCTTTTCATTCCAGTGACTACACCTCTTCCTAAATGGAGCTATCGAAAAAAATGCTACTTACCTTTTGTTTTATCGGAGTTCATACGGTTGGGACTGGTTGGTGCCATTGAAAAAGTTTGAAGCTATAGCCAAAACCCACAACCGAAAATGGTCAAACTTTCTTGAGCATCTATGTCATCCAAGTATTGAAGTGAATATCTGATTTTGGGATCAATATTCGTGTCCACTGTATGTGGTGAAGGCATTTGATTACCAGATGAATATCCCTACTACTTGAAACCGCTGCAAACAGATTTCCGATGCACATATATTGAAGGCTAAACTAAGTCACTGCTTGTGAGGAGGCCGGCAACACTCCCCAGATCATTCAGATGAGTCCAGGGACTGAAGGACGTCGATGGGATTCCCCATTGACCCGATAGCGTCCGTTACCACAAATTCAGGCAACACCTTTTCACACATGGGACACTTCAACTTCCGCATCATCCACAGGCTCAAGCACTTGGCGTGGAAGATGTGATTGCACGGAGTGACCATATACTTCTTGCGGTCCACCACCGCCCTGTGACGAATCGCCTGTTTGACCACCTCAAACTTCCCATATCCCAAACAAATGCAGCACTCGTAATGGCACGAGTATATGCCCGGAGGCTGAGGCTTGTTCAGGAGCCCGTCGATAGCGCTCTTGGGGAAGTCTCGTCTGAGTTCTCTTACGCTGATAACTCGGTGGTAGTCGTACACCGCTGGCATGAGATGGGGCGCGGAACTCATAGTCGCGGGGGGTAATAACTCGCGGGGTGGTCATGAAAATAACGCTTGCTTTCAATCGTTGGAACGTGAGACGGTGATGGTAAGATTGATCGTACATTTGATTGAGGTGTTACAACATCCAACATTTCTTTCAGTATCAGTTGCTCGATGGCTTACCTAATCATAAGATGCCTTTGAAAATGACGCCACTATCACCAACACCGAAACCGTATTCAACAAAGCCACCCATTTTGGGCGGCTTACAATCTACTTAATGGAGTGTGAGGCCTCATCGATCAAGCGTATCATACCATCGAGACCACGAATCTTCTTTACTAGTTTCTGCGGGCACCAGTCCACTCATCTGAGGATTGGCTCACCATGGATCAAGCAATGGAAGCGACGTCGCTGTTGCTTGAAAGAGGAGATCTTGAATAAAATATTATAGTGACAAGTTTCTGTTATCGGTACAGTGCTCAGTCGATCGGGTACTTTCTTACTGGTATGCTCAAGTTGGGTAGGCGATGTTTGAGAAGCCACCTCTGCATTTCCTTTTCGTGTTAACCACTATAAGGCTACGGGCTGATCAGAATTCTCTTGATCACATTAAATTGAGATCGACTCCTTATTTGATCGATGATGCTGCGCTACAGTTTTCACGTTGTCATAAATTGTCATCAACAAGCTGATAATATCACCATTCATTGGAAACACTTAAAGAACGAGACTTTTGCTTACTCAGCCGAGGACTCAGATTCATCCGAGGAACCAACGTCAGAAGAACCAGAAGCATCGGAAGAGCTAGAAGTGTCAGAGGAATCAGAGCCATCGGAAGAACTAGAGTTATCGGACGAACTAGAGTCATCAGAGGACCCAGAACCGTCGGAGGAATCAGAGGACCCAGATGAACTAGAAGCATCGGAGGCTGGTAATCGGGGCACTCTCCGGCGGCACACGGGACATCTGCGTCTTAACTTGATCCACAGCTTCAAGCAATCGGTATGGAACATGTGCTTGCATGGGGTCACCATATATTTGTGTGTGCAAACTTTAGAGTGAACTTTCCAGGCCACCCTGAATTTCAAAGGCGACAAGCAGATGCTGCATTCACAGCGGCACTCTAGTGTCCATGGATACTCTTGTTTCTCCGTAAGCCCTTCAGCTATGCTTTTCGGAAAGTCTCTGAGGAGCTCTCTGGGTGAGATAACCTGATGGTAATCGTGGACCATGTATAGGGGGTATGGCTTTCACACTCGCGAAATTTGGGTTCACGAGATCGCTGAGAGTATAGCTCTGGGATATAGGTGTAAGACAATGCCATTGCGCTAGGCTATAATTACGAAACAGGCGGTGTAATGTATAATCCGTTTGGCGCTGTGTTAAAACCAAACACTCGCTTCATTTCAGCTTACAACCACAGTGTGAAGCAACCATTTAGACTGGATAGCCTGATTGGTCTGAGTCTATCTAATTGAGACTGAAGAACTAATTTTATGCTACGCTAGTACCTTTCACATTATACATATATTGTCACACAAAAGCTGATGGATTCCTAATTGTCGAAGTTGTCCGAGAAGTTAAACACATGTCATCTTGCTTGCCCAGTCTCATCTGAGAAACCCGTGGAGACAGCATCAACTGAAAAACCAGCGTCGTCAGAATAACTAATGGATAACACAATTATAAAATTTAACGACTGGAATATTATTTGCCCAACAAATGGAAACACCTTCTTGATGTACCGAACCATTTCGCGCGACGTATCCAGGACCCGTAATAACTTTGCGAGAGCCTCCATCCAGAAGTTTAACAGTAGTTTTATCGTTCGAGATCTGTCTCCGTAATCGGGGCACTCTCCGTTGACATAAGGGACACTTCATTTTCTGCTTCAACCACAGCTTCAAGCATTTGGCATGAAAAATGTGCTTGCATGGGGTCACCATATACTTGTTGTTGTCAACTTTACTCTCTTTGTGTCCTTTTCTCGAGACCACCCGGAATTTCAAAGGTGACAAGCATATGCTGCACACACAACGGCAAACATAAATCCCCGGCAACCGTTCTTCGCTCGAGAGTCCTTCAACCGTGCTCTTCGGGAAGTCTTTTCTGAGCTCACGAACAGCGATAAGTGGATGGTAGTTGTGAAACTCCTTTTTGGGGCGCAATTCCACAACCTTCGGCCGATGCCCGGTTCGATAGGTCACTCGAAGAATAGCGGGTTGGGTGAAGGTGTAAGTCGATGCCATTGCGTCAGGCTAAGCTGCCAAGGACAGGTGGTAAAATGTATGTTCTGATGTGCGTAGGTCTAATCAATATATAGCTTGCAGAGCCTGACGTAATCACCGAGTCGAGAAAGCCCCGCACAATACTTTCTTAAGAATGCTAATTGTCGACTTAGCACAAACTGATGCCCATTGTCTCTTCCAAACCCTCCCCCGGGGCTCCAACAAAGACTACTTCTGAATAAACTTCAATACTAATACAATATTTCAATCATTTGTATTAGATTCATGATCTACGCTACTGAACACACATATATGCTGACAGTGGTCTGCCACTTCTTCCACTGGGCGATGAAATTTTACGTAACTGATATAATGCTGCGACCCTTCCAGTGAAAAGAAATCAACCGACAGTATCTATTTTATAAGTATCAATGGCAATCTTTCCTTACCTTACCTGAGGTCGTCTACTTTCAAAAATAAGAAGTTCGCACCTCAAGTTACCGCAGGGAAATCTGAGAATTGGTGGCAGCTACAACGAACGTCATGCAATTTTCTATTATCATCAAATTCATCCACCAAAATTGAGTGTTTAGTGAAAGTTTTGTACTCGTTATCATCCACCTGCACCGCGGAAACTACTCGAATGATGTATGTTCAGTTACACAATATAATTTCGACGCCTTCAGGAAATTATATGACAGCACTTTGCTTAGGATGCAAGAATTCTCGTACGATATTGGATTGCCGGCATGCTCCTAGACACTGTCAAACAGACATCAAATCGAAAGTGCAGAATCTGCTAGTGCTTTCAATGAGATGCCAAAAACTTCCTTCAAGGTGTTCTACTGCCGGCTGCCAGCGGCTGGATATGCAAACCACACAGTCCTGGAATATTACACACATGGTACACACATCGAAGATTGTCATAGAAAGACCCACTATTTGCTTAGTCACAGTCAACAAAGACGATACCTCTATTTTTGGTTAGGTACCCAGTGGATGTACCCACCCGCCTCAAACGCGACATCTTTGTGAAGAGGCTCATATTTGACAACTGCCTTTGATTTAGCGTGATATCATGTTTAGTCAAGCTATCACAACTATCTTTAGCACAACATCAAGTTTCGAATTGATTGTTATGCTAAATTTTGTATCTTGAAAAAAAAAAACTTGCTCGCCATTGACTTTGCAGCAATTTACCAAATACAACACTAATAACCAAAAATCCTGGAAATATTTGCGTAAAACTACACTTTGTGATGCCCGTCTAGCTACTCTCTTCAAAAAGTTTCGAGAAAAAGCGCTAAATTTTTCACTTAACCGAAAGTGACAGTGGGTATACTTGCGGGTAGAACCCTCTAGACGCATCCCAGGGTTATATTGAGTTTTTAATTGAGATATTTATCTCACATTTTTAACTATTTGTAGTTTGGATGAAAATATGAGTTCGTTTGTCCGTATCAGACGATCTAAAAAGGAAGTCAACCCAAGAAATCAGGGAATAGACCTGAATCTCATCAAGACATAAAGCATAGATCAACTAACAGGACGACAGGGCGTTCAATGAAGGGGCCTTGGCACTTGCTCTTGGAACATAGGGGAATGTACAACGCTCACCACATTTGAAGTGGGGCGTAGCGTGGACTATGAACTTGATGCTTTCGAGGATGATATATTAAGAGATACTAAACTGTCATTATGTGACGTCTACTGAGCACTCTCGACTTGTCATATTGGAAAAATCTGTAGTTATACTGCTTCGAGTAGACTTAGTTGACTCTGGCAATGGGTTGTCGACATGCGGCAAGTCTCTCAATCTATCAAGTAACCATTTCAAGTAGTTCAATTAAAAAAGGCTTTATTTACCTACGATTCATGCTATACTGACTTTGTGTACTTGATCGACTGTGACTCAGTTGTCGCTATAATGATTTGCGGGCTACACGAGTGGGCGCCAAAAGTGAGCACTAAGGAAATAAACTGGACAATAACTGAAATAGACAATATTTGCCTGTTTCCTGTAGTGCATGGATTTTGTTTTCAGGCCACATGCAGTTGAGATCAAAGGTGCAGGGGAGATATAATTGATCGACACTTCCCAAGCCATCACCTTCGTGGAATGATCCAGAAGTTTGAAATGACTTACTGCTATATAAGAGAGAATAGAACTTTACTGGCCGTACCAAATACTTTTCTTCTCCAATGTTTACACCTAAACAAGAGTGGATATCGGTTGTGTATTACTTTCTTCCTAGCCCGAAATACGCACTGCGGCTCAATACCGAGTACTCAAAAGTTATATGCAAGTCACACTCGACTGATCTCCACGTTTACATGATTGTTCTTATATGCCTTCCTCTCTGCTGACGAGGGGAGCGCGCCTCCCCCACCCCCCGAGCCCATTCGCGATTTTTTTCTCGCTCGTCACAGTTCAGGAGGGAGAGATAGGGATCATCATGGCCTTTTCATCTTCTTACTACCCGAGAGACACTGCCAAACGGTTGGAGTACGAGGGCGTCGATCATCTTCGCTTGGTGTTAGACGTCAAGTACAAACCGGAAGGTCTTCTTCTCGACCAGCTCCGAGACGGCAGCGCCAGCTTTACTTTCGACGCCGTCGACGTAGACGAAGCTGGCGTCGCTCGACGCTATGAGCTCACGTTGCGACGGCAATTTAACGCTGACGGCACCGAGTCCTACTACTATATGGGCTTCGATGACGACAAGTTGACTAAAGTCACGCGGCAGATGTATCGCAGAATCCTTCGAGGGATCGACTTTGGCGACGTTTAATTCTTCATTTACTTCACCAGTTGAAGTGATTTAGCTGCTAGTATTTACCTTTTTAGCTCAATCCAACAAAGTTTATCATTACGAACCGTAGTGGGGGTGACTCGTCACGTGATCCATACCGTAAACATCGATAAACTACAAAATCAAGTAAAATCAAATGTCCCACACGGAGGACAGGTGCTTTTCCAAAATCATCATCGCTTCCTTAACCATTTGCTTTGAGACAACGGCGTCCTGGCAAATCTTACGAAGTAACCGTTCCACCGTAGCCCGCCAGTCCGCCATGATCGCATACAACTTTTGTTGTTCGTGCCAAATAGCTTGTTCAGTAGTGCGACGAGTCTCTCTGGAGATCCCGGGGATGTCATTAAGAATCCGTCCAAGGCGGCGGTTGAAGTCTGTGGCCAAGAAGGCGAGGCTTCTTTCCACTTCTTGGTGAGGTCTGGCCCGGTTGTCAAAGTCTGAGTATGTAGTCAACAAGTGGATATTCGCTTCAATGGGGTCGGCGGCCTGACCAAACTCGCGTTGTAATCTTTGGATCCGATAGTCCAACTTGGAGAGTCTGTCAGTGTTCAACCCAGGAACGGGCTTGAGGGATCCAATTGGCTTGAAAAGACTGCTTAAGGATACCGTCTCGTGGTTCTTCCACGCCGTTACTGCTTCGTGTCTGGTTTTCTCAGCTTCCACGATTAATTTGGTCAAGTCACCACGGGCCCTGTCGTTAGGGAGCTGTCTTAAGAGAGCCTGGAATGTTGGCAAATAAGTCACAGACTTGGCGTTCTTCGCCACGCTGTTGGATTTGATTGTGTTGTTGTTCTGTTTCTTGGAACGGGACATGGGATTTGTAAATTTGCTAACGAAGAGACAACAGTGTTCATATACCTGTGCTATAAAAGCTTATTGCGTCACCTATTTAGCCCCTGAGTCTCTAAAGTTACTCGAATAATAAATCTTTGGAAATGTTAAAAAGACTTTCTGACAAAATCGAGGTCCCGCTGATTTGGAGGTGAAATAATGCTTTGTCCATTTGTAGTGGACGGTATTAACCAGTATAGTGACAAGTGAGGCTATTTGGCTTAATAGAGCTCTCGTGGTCAAAACTACTGAAATTTGAGATACATAAAGCGGTTTTCAACCAAGGATTTTCACTAAACTCAGCTCCCCGGATGCTTAATTGATCAAGTTTGCAGCATAAAACTCGCCCAAGATACGATCAATCACGAAGACTGCGTCGCCATCAACAAATACTTTGAGGTTAGGGAAGTTGACACCATTAAGTTTTCCTACTCCAGTTTGGAATCTTTTGTGACGAACATAACGCCGGGGCCAGTTTGGAAAGGTAAATGATTTGCCAGCAAACTCTAGGTATTCTAGAAGCTCTTGAAATCTGATTGCGAGTTCAAATGAGTTATTATTAAGGTTGGTGCGTGCCAAGCGCTTTATGGTTTTAGGGAACCAAAGAAGATTAATTGGGCGGAGGTTTGGTTGGGCAACATGCAAAAATCCCTTAAGGTACTAAACTCAGGTGCATAGTGGAATACGTTATCGACACCCACATGTTGCGCGTTTCGAACAGAAAAATGTTTGACCACGGATATATCGAAACATCCTCTAATTCCTTTAACATTGCCAACAATCACGAGGCTGTCCACTCTGACTTTGGTTGGTGTTGATTCCAATTCAATTTCAACTAAAACGACCTGATAGAGATGGGGAGTGCTCATAACAGAACGGTAATTCACGAAAAATTCCTGTGGAGCAGATGATGTAGGAGACGTAATTCTGAAGCTGACTTTCGCGGGCTTCAAGTGATTTATAATAGCGTGAAGAAGTTGGTCGTTCCAACGGGGAGATTCAATGATAGTTATCTCCCCAGGCCACTTGAATTTGATACGCATCAAATGAAGAAATTGAGATTGCGACAAGTACAGCCAGTGTTTAAGATCGTCAATCGAGTCGTGAAGCAACGGCTCTTCATCAGGTCCTAAAACGTATACTTGATGAAAGAGTCTCTGCTTGGCGATGTAGTCAACGCCCTTAGAAAGGGACAAAAATGGGTGGACACGGTGTTGGGGAAGAAACTCAAGTACAGTTGCCACAATCTCTAAGGGGAGCCTAACAGAAGGTGAGACTTCAGCCCTTCTATGGGCTAAGCGATGTAACTTCAGGAAACAATTGTCACAGAGGATTGGCTCGAGGCATCCAAATGAGTCGTCTTCAATGTTGTTGTCGTTAGTAGTGATTGTCATAGGAGAGTCGTAATGCGTCATGGTGAAAGTCAAGAAATTAGTTTTACCCCATGTTTCAAACTAATGCGACTCCACCACCTAGCGAGCAACCCATTTTTTTTTTGGGGGGGGTAAATTATGCAAGGTATCTTGTAGTAGTAATTTATTTTATCAATCGGATGGTGTGTATTTTGCTCCTCCTCGTGCTCTATCCAAAATCCTGGTCTTGTTCTCCTTATTCATAGAATTTTAAGTGTGGGGATCATTTGATGTTTCAGAGTTTCCAAGGTGGCAATATCAACATATCGAATAGTTGGAGGCAAAAGAAATCCCACCCTCCAACAACAATAACGTTTAATCCACAAACTGATGCTGAGAACCTTGACTTTGAATTTGCACCAGAGTTTACAAAGGATTGCCTAACACTGGAGATACTCATGGAATAAATGAGTGATGTTTTCATGAAGTCTGAGGCCCAAGCTGACAACGAAGTCAAATTTACCAAAAGTGCCTAGCTCCACTTGATTACAACATGTCAAGCAATTGAGTTCAAAAAGAGAGCGTCTACGCTAGTCCCTACAAGATTGTATCTTCCGTGAGTTTCCTTGTGGACACTGTTTCTCAACGTTGAACGAGTGACAAACAATGAGAGGGATACCACTATTCTGTCGTTGCCTGCAACTTAAGTTGTTCTTCGCCTAAGCTCCGAAGGTAACTGCTTTATTGCGGTAGGCGGTTCAGCCACCTGGTGAAGCTCTACCAATGCCTAATCTGATAATATCGTTGTTGTGTGTATTAATGGAAGGATGTCTATGCAATCAGAGTGAGTATAAAAGCTAATGGGTATCATTCTTCTTCTTCATCGTCACGCGTCTTCTTTGTGGGGAGTTCACCCAATGCCTGGAGGCGGCGGCGTCGTTCCACCAGCGATTCCCGTTCGGCTGGAGGCACAGTATTTGATGCTGCTGCTGGTGCTGCTGAGGATGAGGGCATCGCCAGACCCCGTCTCACTGCCAGCGGAGGCCTCTGTACTGTCGACGACCCACCAAACGCTTTATTGAGCTTAGCTTCCAAATGAGGGTCAGCGGCAATACCGTCGGTCAGAGTCATCGTTTGCGGGGGAAGTTCTTCAGTCCAGACTTCATCGGAAGCTTGAGTTTTACGACCAAGAGCCCAGTCGGTCACGTGGCGGAACGTACCCAGACGGGCTCTGCCTCCGGTGGGGTTAACCTGAGGACGACGGTTGACTCTATAACGACGAATAATCTCACCGTCTTCATTCTCAATGAGGATCAAGTTATCGATCTGGTGAGCGAATAATTGACGACGGTGAGGGTCATCTTTGCGGACAAACGCCCGTTTCGTGTGCAGAGCAAGCCGCTTCAACGGCAGTTCCGGTACTGTCGTCTCCAGGTCTGAGGGAACAGCCGAATAATGGCTCATCTTCTGGACAAGCAGATCCATCGAGTGGATAGATACATCGTTGGAGTCACGAGACCTCAGCTGGGTGAGGTTCAGAGTTAACGAGGCTAGCGACAGGCGGCGGCTGTGGCGAGGCGGGGGCGATCTAGGAGGACGATCAGGCGAATCGACTTTAATTTGGTCGATGATCTCGCCGTCTTGGTCCTCAATGATGATGTTATCCCCTTCCTTATACGCCTGGTGGGGCACCTGGTCGTGTTCGAGGGCGTCGTGGATCTCCGGTGGGATGTCGGCGGGGTCAATGTGGAGTTGCGGCACTTCACCATCGGGCAGAGCGAGGTTATCATCGACGACGGCGTCACCGGCTTCGTGGGTAGACTCGGAGTCGACTTGAGTGCGGCTTTCTTCCAGAGCGTCTCCAGGGGTCAGCCTACCCAATTGAAGCGTTTGTACTTCCGGTTTGCGTCTCAGAGTGATCGTCTCTTCGCCGTCATGAGTTTCCAAATGGTGTCTCCGCTTCTTCTTATGTTTCCGCTTACGCTTAGCGCCACCGGCGGGTCTGACTTTGACCCCCAGAGTCTCGGGTAATTGCATTTCCCCTTCGGCATCATAGTCGTAGTCGGGAGCAGCTTCTTCTGGGTGTTGTTTTTCGTCGATAATGCTCATCCCCTGAGAGTCAACCCGGTGTAACGAGAAGTTAGTCGCCACCAGTTCGAGCCCTTTAAGTCTATCCATCCAGTGGGAGTTACCCCCGTCCTTAGTATTGGTGGTGGTGAAGGTCATGGTGATGGCCATGCGGTTCAATTTCTTGCCGAGGGCAAGCACTGCCACTGAGGAACCGTGGACGATGATTGACGTCACCACAATGAAACACACGATGGGCCAGATACAGGCGATGAGCTGGTAGTGAGGGAAGTCAGGATTAGGCAATTGGGCAAGGGGAGTCTCTTCTTCAGTGTAATGGGCTTCAAGATCCTTACGGGCGAGGATGGCGGCAAAGATGGCCCCGACACCGATGGGACCGAAGTGGCCACAAAACAACGCTTCCCGCCACAGCTTTATATCGGGGGTGAATGGTTTCATTGCCAATACGGCAGGGATACGTCTTAAGAAGATGATGACGATGGCAATGATGATAAGCCGCCACACGTTGAGGCCAAGACTGCCGTCGTTAAACAGTTGCCAGGGGACAATGGCCCCGAAATAGACAAAGAACGACAAGTTAAGCAACAAGTCGATCACTGTGGATACGTGCAGTTCCTCGGTTTTACGAGCAAATTCGCCGTTCCAGCCGAAGGCGGTGCCGGCAGCGAAAGAACACAATAAGTCGTCAATGCCGAGGATGGAGCCGAACCCGGCACAGACAAACGCAAGGAACACGAAGAAGGCAAGGAACGACTGGCGGTCGATCAATTTGTATACTTCGGCCCAGTAGATGAGTTTTCTCATTGAGTAGCCGATGACCACACCTAAGACAATGCCGAAGCCACACTCCCAAAGGATGGTGAGACAGAACCAGTTCTTGACGATCTCACCAGCTTGACCTGAGTAAAGGATCAAATTAAGGGATAAGAAGATGAAGGGGAACGCCATGCCGTCGTTACACCCTGATTCGGCCGTCAATAAGTTTCTCAAATGGCCGGGCACTCTCTCGGCGAATTTACCTTTACCAACGACGGCAGCGGCAAGTACAGGGTCAGTGGCAGTAACACAGGCACTAACAAGAAGGCCATCGGTGAAATGGAAACCTGGGATGACAATATAGATAAAAGTGCCCACGACAAGCCACCCCACCGTCATCACGGGCAAAAGCAAGATACTGACGGAAAGCCAGTGTTTTAGCATATATTTCTTGGGCAATTCCACTGCCACGGCGACAATCTGGATACAAAGCACCAACCGACATATTTCCAACGTGATCATATCCAGATTCCCCCACAGCAACGGATTGAACCATTTGAGACAGTGGGGGCCAAAGATGAGCCCGGCGATGCCGGCACACGTGGCCTCGCCGATGTAGAGCTTGTCCTTGATGAACAACGACACCAACGAGAAGAGGATGCAGAACAGCCCGAGACAGGCGTAGGCGATATGGGACTTCTCTAGCTAATACTGTTAGTATGAGTCAGGCAAATTAAGCATCAGGGCAATCATGTTTGTATGAAACAGGAGAGCCCGTCACTCCAAGGATACTCACCTCAAGTTGATCCCACGCCATCTTGGCATTCGGTATTAAGTGGTAAACGTTTCAGGGGATGAAAAGGGATTAGCAAATAATGAGATGGGCCCGATTGTTATAATGTGAGGGTATTGGGGTTTCGTGAGCATGGGGGTGCGGGTAGTGCATATAAGATACCTGGGCGAGGCTAGCTTTTTTTGGAGAAGAGGGCCCGGGCTCGTGGTAGAGCGTGAGGCTGCTACCACTGCTACTAAGCCTATATCGATAGTGTGGGTGCGAAAGTGGGGCAAAGTTGGGGCAACCGCAACCATTGCGACAAGAGGCAAATGTATACAGTACAACAGACAGTATAATTTAGGGGGAGTTTGTCCAGGCCAGTTGGTTCGGGTGCTTTCACTAAGCCCGGCGGCCCGGCGGGCGTGGACCTACGGTCTGGGCACGCACCCCGATTTTCTTGGCCCCGCGAACGAGGCAAGCGAAACCGTGGTTTTTACTAAGCGAAAAGAAACTCGATCGCAACAGCAACAAAACAGCCAGGAAAAGAGTTGATGTTTGATCTAGGAAGGGGTGTAAATTAAAAGGGAATTGGACATCATTGGATAGTACTAGTTTATGTGTGAGTAGGGTGATCTTGCTGCACGGGTGTTAGCGTGTACAGTAGCTACCAAGGTGCGTTTTTTCGGGTCTCGGCACTTAACTGGCGAGTGGAAGTATAGGGGCCAAGGCGACCGACGAAAGTCTCGGCGACGCAAGAGAATACACTAAACTGGCCGTTTGCGGCCGGTTAAGAAATTAGGGTTTCAGGTACGAGAAGTTTCCATGCTTGTCCCTGGTACAGTTATGTGGTAATTACATTTCACTTATGTCAGACACTTACCTAACAGATACCGCCAAGATCAATCATAATTACCAGCTGGACTGCATTTTGAAGATGGCTGGGTAAGTACAGTCCTGGTGATTGCCACTAGAAAAGGATTTCGTGTTTCGGTTCCACTAAACGATTGACTCCGCTCCGCAAACTCATAACACACCCGCCAGTAATAGTTAGCTCAAGTCATTAAAAAAAAAAGCCAAATCCAGGACTTCATTAGTCATTGGAAGATAAGTTATGTGTTTCGGTCAAGCAGTGGTGGCGTCAGCTCCGACGCCGGCGTAGTAGCTGAGCCACCCTTTCACGTCGTCGCCAAGATTATCGAGAAACCCTAAAGGATTCGGAAGATTTGCCAATACCAGCGGTTCCACTGGTTCCCCTCGCTTGGCTTGTCGTCTTGTCGATTGATTCTTCACCACTATTGCCACTGTAGGTCCTTGTTTCACCAAATAGAACATCCAGTCGTGGTTTCCTGAACCAGAGAACTTATGAAAGTACTCATAGGCTCCGTTCTGTAGGAGCTTATCGCCGATGATGACACTAGAGAGCTGGTCGTGCAATGAGACAAGTACTCGGGCTACACGGGGCGGCGGCGAGGGGACAGTCTCAGGCTCGTGCAGTTCGGGAGAGTCCAGTCGTTTGCTCGCAGTATCTCCTCCAGTGGAAGCAGAATCAGCTATTGGTGGCAAATAGGGGAGCAGTGACTGGAACCAGTGCTCATCATGATTGTAGACAACAAAGAAGAAGTCGGCATCAGGGTCACTTTTAACTCCCGCGGGGAGTACTCCAAAGCTAGTACCGAGGTTTGTCTTGGCCTCATTTACGTCGCCAACCACTGTATCCAGCCACTTTTGGATATTATCGTAGATATCGTCGCTATCAAGTTCATTGACGTTATCAGGGTAAAGTAAAGCCACCACCACCAGTTTCTTAACATAAACCACTAGACGATGGGGTTGGTAGTCTCCCTTATCATCAGCCAAAAAGACCCGCTTTTTGGTAATATTTTGTGCATCACGACGTCCTATAAGAAACTGTCCCGGTGCTTCTGAGGCCATTGGCGGTGCCAGCGCTGCCTCGTCAGCGCTACCGCTACCACCACCAAAATAGCCTTTTCCTTGCCACCATTTTGACGTCGACAGAGGCAAATTAATCAATGTATCAGGCACGTTGCGGATCAGCGATACCGTATAGTTTAACGGCGCCACCACAAGATTATTAGTTAACGTGGCGGGACTGAAGTATTGAGAATAGGTACTCACAGTATCGTCATCAGCTCCATTTTCATCATTAATGGGTGCAGCACCGGTGCTATCGTCGCGTCCCACGAGAGCTACGCCATCATAGGGAGTAGCCCAGGCACTGGTAATTGAGGCGTTTCCCACTTGATCTTCGGCGATATCGTCGTGTAGTTGATGGTAGTAGTGGTAGAACTCAAGCCAGGTGTATAGGGGGCCGAAACTAGTGCCTGCCACCACTCCATATTGCTTAAACAGAGTGGAGTCAAAATTGGCCACTAACCCACCAACTGTTAGCTCTGGTAGCGATAAATCAATATCGGTGATGGTAGACCATTTATCACCACTCAAAAACCCCAAAAACCCTCGGTAATGAAGATTATTGGCCCCGCTAGGCAGCCATGTCCCGCACCGGTTATTATACCGTTCAAACAAGCTATCGAAGAACGGGGCCAATTTCGTCCGGTCGTGAGGCGTCCCTGTAGTAAACATAAACATTTGCCACCCTTGTCGAAGCACCAGCGCCGCCTGGAGGGCTACTATGGAGTGTTCTGTGGTGGTGGCATTATGACCTCCCTGGGTGACGAGGGTGGCGGCAATGGTGATTCCGGCCTCCTTAACGGCAACAATGCACCCTCCGTCAGTCTCCACCGTCATATAGTCGTCTTCGTGGCCGGTTTTAAACGTGGAACCGAGCGCTTCGAGCCCCAGGATCACCCCGACAAGATTGAGCTTGGTCTGCACCAGCGCCGCCTCGACGCTGTGGAAGTAGTAGATCTCGTCCTCCTCAAAGATGACGACATTGCTGAACTCGCCCACTTGGGGCAGCCGGGCCAGCAACGACGGGAGGATCGTGTGGATGTAGCGAGACATAGTCGCACGGCGGAGGAAGCATTACTTGAGCAACAACTTGACACACAGTAGTCTTACCACACCCAGTTTCACCGACTAAAAGAAGAGGCTCGTGGTACTTGATCAGCTGCTCCACAAGCACTGCCAACCGGCGCATCGCTTTCGTCCACACCACTTCGGACAAAGCAAGCACCTCGCGGTTCTCCAATTGCTTATAGTAGGCGTCCATGTCAAGCTTCACTTTCATCACCTTCTCATGGGTCACAATAAGTGAAACTGATGCTAGTTTGTGAGTAATTCAATTGACCTTTTGTAAAGATGGGTCTCAATTATTGTTGACCAAAATGTAGAACAATGACTTGTATTGCAATTCTATGGTCTCATGATGCAAATCTAGGCTAACAGCTTAGTTCCACTTTGAGACAAGTATCGATTAATTTGACTTGCTAAAGAATGGGAAGATGATTATTGTCCGATTTACTTGATATCCATCACTTTGCTTTAGTAGAATGCTACCTTGTGGTAGAATACCACGCCCCATAGTGTCTCTACGCGATCGCTCATCACTACTATAAAAATGGCTTGATGGTCCTAAAATATGGCTTGATGGTCCTAAAATATGGCTTGATGGTCCTATAAAATGGCTTGATTTCAGTTTTGATTTACGAATAAACACAACCTACTAATCTCTATTAACACCCACATTCTCCATCTCCTTTGCCATCACATATAATCTCTTTGGGTACCGGGTTGCGCGTCGCGTCCCATGAGCAAGACCCAGTGATCACCTACCCTCTCTGACCCCATGGAACTCTTTGTGGCGCTGGACGATGAGCCGGAACACGATGGCCCTTATCTCCCCAGCTCACAGGTACCCCACTCGCAACCTCCCAGTGCTAGCCAGGAAGCCCGCTTCGTCGCCGCCACCACCACGACGCGTCACTTGGCCGACGTGTTTGGCCTGATTACACCCGTATCCAAGGAAGCAGTAATCACCATTGGTAGTGACGGGATGAGGATATACGCCGAGCTGGAGCACCGGCTGAGTAATTTGCTGGTTACCATTGATTCCACGGTGTTTCGTCAGTGGCAAATAACCCCTCCCAACGCTACACTCAAGCTCCAATTGGACATTTCCCTAATTGCTCTGGCACTTCTGTCCGTCCCCAATGATCCTGAAGGCAAGCACACGTGTATTTTCAGTTATGACGGGCTTGGATCTCCGTTTGTTATTGAATTTGAGGATAATCTAATCAGTGAGCGGATTGAGATGCACACCTACGTCCACGATATTGATGACGGACCTCACGTGCTTGGCATTGACCGGAGCCGTGTCCACTTTGAGATCACTTTGGACCTGAAAACGTTTACTGCCTTATTGGAATCATTACACAATGTGGGCACTACTGAAGTGTCGCTAAACATTTCCAATACTCCGGAAACCGATATTCGACACCAGCTTACTGGAGGTAATCATAACTCATTGTTTTTCGTGTCTAAAGGACCTATCGGTCTTATGAAAGTGATCTATCCAGGTATGCCTACAGTGTTGGAACGAGTCGACATCTATGATGACTCAGATAACCCTACACCGATTACTTCACAGGTGCTGCTGCTGTACTCGTTCAAACAGCTAGGACAGATCCTTAAAGCGGTGAGGCTAAGCTCTAAGTGTAAGCTTGTTAAAGATTACCGCGGGGTGTTGCTGCTCCAGTTATTGTGTCGCAACCAGTCTAACGCGACCTTGATGACGTATAACTTGGTCGAGTTATCTAATGTGGAAATTGTCTATGATGAAGAGCCGATGGCGGTGGAACCGCAATCTGATCAAGAGTACGAGATTGAGAGAGGACCAGCTTTCGATACCCCGATCTTCTTATAATTCTTTTGAGGAAGAATACTCCCCTAATGTGTTATGACCTATAAAATCCAGTGGCTTTGGTAGAGATCGATAATCCCAATCTTTTGCTCGATTTCCTAAGCCACCTAAAGTACATAAACTTATATGCATAGTAAGAAACACCTTACCCTAGAAAGATTAACGATTGGTATTTGTATTCAAGATTGAAGAGAGTGTTATATATGGGATTGAAATTGAAATTATAAGTTGTTCAAGAATTATCGCACCTCGCCAAATTAAGCCTAAACAATACATGAGTCGCTAAATGGTTTGAAATTGCAAAGGTAAAAAACAGCCATCGATTTGAAGGAGAATCAATGGCACGATTGTGATATCGTCAAAAAATTAAGCCCAATGCGGGGCTCGAACCCGCAGCCTTGAGATTAAGAGTCTCACGCTCTACCGATTGAGCTAACCAGGCTTCTGATGGCGGATAAAACCAACCGCTTTGTGGTACCGTGCAAGTGATGTGTAGAAATTGCGTCGGTTTCGTTCCAAAGTGACTGACAGTTTGCCAGAAGCATCTTTTCATCTTTCTAAATCTGAATACATGCTTTTATGTACGTCAGTGTTACTGGTAATGACGGAATCGCTGCTTTCGCACCCGGGTTTTCAAAAGCGCCCTATTTTTAGTTGAAACGGTAAGTGAAAAATCAGTACCATGAACAACCCAGCATTATCTATCTAGCGCCAATCTATTAAGGGAAGTTGGTAATTGTGGTGACATTTTTATCGGCGCTAAAGGGGAAAGCTGAGATCCAAAAATCCACCTTTGTGCGAGGAAAGTCGAGGAAGGTCACGCAGGCCATACTCGATCCAAGTCCATATAAGCCCACCTCAAACCTTCAAAGTAAACTTGAATTCTCTTTGTGCTTTGGTGGTAAAATGTTGCTGCTGAAATTGGCTCTTCCTCCGCCAATTTCGGGAGTGAAATTGTTACAATTGATCACTCTGGCCGATGAATTGCTTAGTACAAAGGAGTACCAATTCCAAAGGGTCCAAAACTACTTTGAGACTCATATCCCACCCGCTAAAGATCTTCCCAAGTACATCAAGGCGATGATCAAAGTGTTGCAAACGCGTCCGCTGGTGAGTCTCTCGTTTACGGTGCTCCATATGGTACTGGCTCTAGCTAAGACCAGAGCTATCGTACACGTTTCCCACTCACAACGGAGAATGCTTATTTCGTGGCTTCTTGTACAACCGGTGTCAATGGCAAGAACTACGGGGAGAGCGTTGGCCATGGTGTGGTTTAAAGTGCCTACCGACGTGGAGATGGTGATGCTGTGGGTGGGCCGTCAGGCCACCCCTACAATCGTGGAGCTGTGTTTGGACAGTGTGCTTGTGAGACCCGACTACGACTTGTCGTCTGATTTCTCCCAGTACCATGTGGCTGCTTTATTGTCGTCTGCTCTGTTTGTGATGGAAATCAGACCTCGCGATTTATCGAAGAAATACCTGGTGATTTTACCTCTGAAGAAATTGGAAGCACTTTTTGACCGGGTAGTTACTGTAGTGGCCCCCGTGATGCTCCTCCCGCCCCACTCACCGCAACCAATGTCATCTATTTCATCAGCTGATTTGTCAGATAAAGTACAAAACGGCTCCAGTGCTACCACTAATGGTGATCTCAATCCCGAAATGAAGGGAGTTTCAAAAGAACAGCGACGGAAACAGAAGAAGTTCTTACGATCGCTTTTGGGTCCCGAAGTGGTAGCGGCGGCAGCTAAACGGGTTGGCCTTGATGAATCAGACGCTCGACAACATTTAAACCGAGCCTTGAAGCACGCCCATTTGACTGCCAATATCAAACACATGAATCCAAAGTCCAAAACCACTCCAAAGATGAGATTAGCAAAGACTCGTCTGCCTGCGGGTCGGCCCACTGGTCAATTGAAGGATTTCCGAGACCTCTAGCTGTCTACTTACGAATGTAACGTTGTATAAGGAATATACTTGAAGGTCAAGTTTGAAGTAGTTTAGAGTCCACTGTGGTGGTGCCACAGGCGAATATGTAGTGAGAAATAGTGATGAACTATTGTCGATTAAATGGGTGATTGGCGGTATATCTCGTAAAAACAATCACAGAAGCTATTATGGTGCAATTCTCTCAAGCAATGACGTGTCTACTCGTCGTTTACGGTGAGTGGCTCTCGTATACTCTTAGACACGCTCAGTAGGCCTTTATATGGTGCGGCGGTGATCGGCGATACACGGACTTATCAAAAATAGATGAAGTTAAATAATTACAGGGACACACTGAGGCACCGAGGACAGTAAACTACAAGCAACGTTACGGCTTTTTCATTCCTCAGCGCATTCCAATGTCAACGCTAGTTTATCTATTCGGAATTTCAGTTGTCCATGCACGCCAATTGTGGTGGCTCAAATGTAGAACCCCGCTTCCGACATCACTTTTGAAATTAAAAAATAAAAAAAGGATTAAACAAGGTTATCTGATGTGATCAAAAAGGTACAAAGGTGAGGGATTTACGTGAAACGTGGAACCCAGGGGCGGTTGCAAGGAGAAGAAGAGTTTCATGGGATGGGGGCCAAGAAAAAAAGAGAGCGTAGCCGTTCGTAATTACTTATCGTTTGGGATGAAACAATAATGCATGTAAATAAGGCACTGGCGGGAGGGATTGTCGGGTTTAGGATGGTTGGTTTTACATAGTAAGGCTTTAATTAATCGGAGGAGATTTTCAAAGACAATGGGGCGTGTCGGTGGATGTTTGAGGGGCTAAAATATGTCGTTTTTTGGCGGTGGCGATTGGTCCGCTGACCTATAACGCGCGCGTGATTGGCCTATTGGCGCGCGCGCGGCACGTGCGCCCCGCCCGCAACCAGCCCGGTGGCTGACTTTGCCATCTCGCTTATTCGCTGTATATCTTTTGCACACGCCCCAGGTCCAGCTCGACCATATACACCCCCGCTCGTGAGCTGAAACTCTGCCCCCAAAACCTGAAACCGGTCGAGGCTGTCAGAGGTACAAAATCACCCGATACCCGTTTCAGACTGAAAAATTTGTCCTCGGTTCCCTCCGCGCCCCATCACCCTGTCGATGGGCCCAGCGATTCAATGAACGATAATGGCTCTGCTACTGCTCCGGAGCCGCTGCTGACAGCACCACCACCACTGCTAACAAACCTGACGCCAACTCAGCTGACGCTGACGCCGCCGCTGGCTCAGCTGACGCTGCCGCTGGCGCTGAAACCAGACGCTCCCAGCGCTCAAAGCGCTCAAGGCGCCCAACAGTGTCTGAACTGCCACACCACCAAAACACCGCTCTGGCGACGAGCGCCTGACGGCACCCTCATCTGTAACGCCTGCGGCTTATACTATAGGCTGAATAACTGTCACCGTCCTGTCAACTTAAAACGCCCGCCTCAAACGATCGTGGTTTCCAAGGTGAAGGAAGGGCTGTGTAAAGGTGACGGCCGGTGTAACGGTACTGGAGGGCTGGCGGCGTGTATGGGGTGTCCGGCATTTAACAACCGCGTGATGCTCGCCAAGCGCAAACTTGAAACCGACGGTGAAAAGCCGACCACGCCATCCCAATCAGCTGACGCCCTGGCGCTGAGCGACGGTACCGACTCCCTCGCCATCGCCTGCTTTAATTGCGCCACCACCATCACCCCGCTTTGGCGCCGCGACGACGCCGGCAATACCATCTGTAATGCCTGCGGTCTTTACTACCGGCTCCACGGCAGCCACCGCCCGGTAAGGATGAAGCGGGCGACGATCAAGCGCCGCAAGCGCACGGTGGCGGCGCCGACAAAACAGCCACCATCGCCGCTGGCGCCTTTACCCGCGGCGCCCACAGCGCCCACCGCTCCCACCGCTCCCACTAATACTGTCACTCCCCCCGCCACCACCGTGGTGTCGCCGTCGCTGGAAGTTCGGCGAATGCCGCCGATACCGCAAATGCAGCTCCCGCTGCCCATACCCGGCTACTTGCCGCAACCGCTCCCGCCGTCGCAAGCGCCGCCAGCGCCCCAAGCGCTGCTGGTGCGCCTACCGCCGATCAATCTCCGCAGCGTGCTGCCCACGCTCCACGCGCCCCCAGCGCCGACAGCGCTGGCAGTGAAGACAGAACCGGCGCCAACCACAGTTGCGACGACGATAAAACGGGAGGCCGACGCCAAGGAGGCGCCGCGGACGCCGTTGGCAACGGCGCCCATTGTCGAGCGCACCCCGCACGCCGCCACCAAGGAAGGGTGTCTGTGCTGTTCGCGGGCGCAGTCGGCGCCCCCCGTCGCCGTCGACTTCACCAAGGCGTTCCCGCTGGGCGACGGCGACCGCCGCCACAACATCTCCATCGACCGCTTGCTTAATTGATCATCCTCCCCCTGTATTTATTATCGTCAGCATTCCTGCATACTTACGACAACTTACGACATCTTAGTTTTACTGTAACCACCATTGCCCTCCCCGAGTAGTGGTGAAGCCATTGGGTTCCCCGTTGATAGAAATAAACACTCATTATGTGGATTAATTGATGTGTATTTGGTGAAACATGTTTGGCGTTTCATATAAAGTCAGCACGCCACTACAGTTTCACATATTAGTTTCAAACTTATCGATTGAACAATGTAGAAGTAGAAATACTGTGATGATCTACGCGAACTCAAGATCTAAAGTGAAAGTTATCAGATATACAATTGCGACCCAGGGCTCGGCATGGCACACATGACGTCAGTCATCGACACAAAAAATAGATAAAAACAAATAAAAATAAAAAAAAACTTAAATAAAATTAAATAAAACGAGTACAGCTTCAATAGGATCTTATGTTTAACGAGATTTGCTGATTTGTATGTTGATTAAGTGCAAGACGTAGACTCCAGGTTCGCCTACCCATATTTCTTACATAGCCTTAAGTTTACTGCTAATAATCGGTGACATTTCCAACGCCTTTGGGTGAACAATGCAAATGGCTTAAATCTCCACCTAAACAAATTAGCACAAGCTGGTAGAGACTTGGCTTTGTAAGTGCTGTGAAAAAATCTATTGTGAACTACGACTATGATGAGAGTTGAGTTAGATGATAATGGAGCGAGTGGTGTTCTCTTCTATGTTACTCATAAAGATACCAACTTCAACCCGATTACGTTGAAATTGAGTGATGTTCAGTGACCGAATCTTGATTTAGTATTGAGTAAAATGAACATAACTTGAGTGTACTTTCGGTGGTAATTTACGTTTCCATAGAGCCGAAAATAAGCTTTTAATGATGTTGAGCATTAAATGACGAACGTGCTATAAATCATAATGAAATGAAATGCTAAATAAAAACATTAAACGGCACCGTAACCCCGCTGTTGCTGCTGTCTCAACTGGTTCACCCGGTAGCCGTACTGGTGGGCCAGCACCATCTCATCGACCACGGGGTACTTAAGGAGCCGCCGCACCTGCGGCTTGTCGAGGTTATAGTTATTAATAGTGGCAATGGCTTCGGCGTATAACGCCTCGTCAACGTCGAGCCCTTCTCCTCTTAGGCTTGGTTCCTCGCTTTCAAAGGCGTCGCCACTGCCGTTATTATTATTATTGCTGCCACTCGGGGTATCGTCAGGAGTGACCTCGTACATCGCTTTAAGCAGAGAGTTAATCAGAGCAGCGTAGCCCCCGACGGCTCGGCGCTCCTGAGTCGATAGTATCGGTCTTGTAGGGTCTTCATTGACGGAGTTATTATCGACCCAGTGCTTCTGTTGGCCGTCCGGGTGGTAGCGGAACCCTTCTTGGATCTTCTTGGTGCGGCCTCTCAGGTTAGGGTGGGCGATCAACGCGTCCACTGAATCGAACTGGCGGTAGTCGTAGTAGTCGCCGTGATACGTAAGTTTGAAATCCCAGATAAGGTCCTTGATGCCGAGCCAGTCGCGCATCGCATAGTACCATTTGACCCGAGCCAGCGGGAGTTTGGCCAAGCTAAAATCGCGCCAGTTGAACGAGATCCAGTGGCCCATAGCGAACGGAATGAGCTCAACGCAAAGCAACGCGTTCTGGATCGCCACTGCCGTACTCTGATGGTGGCCCATTTCCGGTAATTGCCCCGTAGCATTAAGAATGGCTAATATCACACCTTGCCAGTACAGAGCGAAAATGATAAGCTTCACACAAAGGAACTTACCGATGGGGTTAAAAGGTTTGAGATCAGTCCATAAGATCTTCCAAAACAAGGCAAGACAGTAGAGCGAAAGCGATACCGTAATATTATATACCACCGTAAGCCACAAATAGACCAGCTTATACAGCATATCGTTGACGTTATAAAACCCCACAACTTCACCAATTAATATCGTGAAGCAGAGGAACGGTTTAAGCCACACATATTGCAATATCCCCCGTTTAATGTATAAGAACGTTTGCGGGTCGCTGATGTCCACGGGGGGCAATATTCTGCTCAAGGGGAACACTGGGTGGTGTACTGGTGGTCTCCCCAGTGTCATAACAATGATCTGGCGCTCGCCACCAAGCATCACCGTGAGCAACGAGTAGAAAGTATAGATGACAAACGCCTCGTATACTTCACGCAACGGCTCGACAAAGTACTTGGTAAACACCAGATTCTGGTTTAAAAGCATCCGGTAGCACAGCCAGGCGAAAAGGGGCACAATCAAGTTGATGCGGAGCATGAGCCGCTGCTGGAACGGTTTGCGGTAGTTGCGCATGTGGAGGTGTAGCAGCACCAAGATGACGATGGTCGCCGTCACCAGCGCCACGTAGCACGTCGCCACCACCAGCGCCGGAAGCTCAAACATCGGCAAAGAACTCTAGTAAATAGTGATCAATTGACGTCAGTTGCTAGTCGCACTCAGGTGTGTTCGCACTACCAGGTCGCACCGGGGTCATTGGCCAGGTGAGGAGGAGGCAATAATGATGGGAAAACAGATAATAAGCTGTTGTCAATGAAATGAGACATCCCTGGAAGCTTAGAAACAATCAGAAAAGGTTGTAAAGTTCAGGTTTGAGGGTAGATCACATTGTAGTGGTAGATAGAGGCAACCCGTGACCGTTATTGCGCCATGGTCACCACCATCACCCACTATCACATTCACCATCATCCATTATACATTAGAAGAACTCATCGCATTAGCTATCGTCGGATTTCTGGTAGAGTTGTTTTTGTACTCAATAACGGTTCATCGAAGGTTGGTGACGCGTCCACCGGGGTTCCCCAGCGCCGATCTCGGCGAATTGGGAATAATTTCCCAAGGGGTGCGCTACATCACTGATCCATCCCTTACATCAACAAAAAAAAAAAAAAAAAANTAAACGGTGGTATTGATTTACCTTTTAATGTTTCTTACGTAATCATGATCAGTTGGTTACGGTGACAAGCTTTATTATTAACTTGTGTTCTCATTGTTGCGGGTGGTTGAGGAGGCGGCTGGGTGCTTTACAGGGAGATGAGGGTGGGACAGCTGTGGGTAATTATCGTTTCGTTTATTACGCGCAGTTTGATTTGGGAATGGCACGTGACCGCGTTGACCCGACGACGCGACCCTCTACTAACAACGAAATAGAGTAGCCACCACTATCACCACCACCAGCGGCTAATACAGCTTTGAAAATCAATATTCCTAGTAATTATACCCATCAATAACAGATATATAGTTTCAGATCACCAGATTCTCGCTTTGTGACGCGTGTTTAATCGACCCCCATTAAAGACAACACGCGCGGGGGGGTGCACCTCCTGCACAGAAGCTCGTTTACCCGCCCTGCCACCCTCAGTGGCTGGCTCGATCCCGCACAACCTCTTCTCGTTCCTTTTTCGTTATCCCACCAAAAACAACACCACCCACCAACCCACTACCAAAACAGCCACGCCTCATCTCATCCTCAAACCAGGACCCCTTTTTCCCCTGTTACAAGAATAAAGGATGAGCGACCGTGACTTGGCCCACCACCACAAGGTGCTCCGCCAGTTTTTGGACATTTCCGACGACTCGCTGGGACGAGCGAAACCGCTGCTGACCCAGCGGGCGGCGCGGGCACGAGAGAAGCTTTTGAAGCTTTCGGCGGCCCAGTTCAGAGAGTTGCTGACCGACGTCTACGACGAGTTACAGCGCCGCATCGACGAGCTGAGGGGCGAGCCTCAGTACTTGTTGCCAAAACAACTGTTCCACCCGAAACGCAACCAGGCGAGACAAAAATTGGCGCTGTTGCCGCAACTGAGGTTCAAGGACCTCGTCAGCGATATCAGCTACGAAATCGAGCGCAGGGGGCTCGATACTGAAACCACTGACGCTTCCAAAGACCGCAAACCGCTGGTGGCTCTGAATAAACTGTTACCAGCCCCTCCACTGCAACAGCAGCAGCAGCAACAGCAGGTACACCAGCAACTGCAACAACAGCTGCAGCCTCAGCCGCAGACGATCACCGTGCCGGAAATGCCGATAAATAATCAAAACAGCCAGGCGCCGCCGCTGCCTGTTGGTGTATCGCTGAAGATGGTGGTGCCTACTAAAGCCAACCTCCTGTGGTCTCTGGACGAAGAAGAAGACGATGAGAATCATCCGAAACAGCTTGAAGCGGAAAAGGAAAAGGAAAGTGACGACCCTACTACCCCGTCAAAGAATAAACTGGTGGCGAAACAACTGCCTACCCGCCTGCCGCTGGAAGTGGCTCTGCTTCGAGAACAGCTCGCCAAGATGACTCATGAGAGAGAGGTTAACATTTCTAAGATCCATGAATTGGAACTGCGGCTACAGGAGTTTAACCCTGAGGATTTCCGGTCATTAGAAGCCGAACACGCTAACTTAAAGCTTCAACACGATGACCTTAACCAGCGGTTTCAGGAGATTCAACAACAACACGAGGAAGCCACTACTAGGCTGCGTGATCTCGAACAACTGTCACAAGATTTACAGTCTCGTCATGACCAACTTGAGTCCCACAATCAACTGCTTCAAGAACAATTACGTCAAGCTCAACAGCAAGTTGATGACCACCAAGTGAAAGCACGTGATTTGGAGACCAACGCCCACTCTCATGGCGAACAGTTAACTCACCACCAGGCCCGTATCGCTGAGCTTGAAAGCCAAGTACAAACCTACCGCGGTCAGGCCCAAGCTACAGCGTCTACCGAACAATTACAGCGTGAACTTGAAGCAGCATACTCGGAATTATCGCAAACTAAAGCCCAGTTAGCCGACGCCCGCAAGACCATCACTCTGCTTGAATCTCAGCTTGAACAACCACAACCTCAACAACAACAACGTGGGTTATCCCCTGGTGGCCCTCAATCGCTGGACACTGTTCGCACTAATGTGGCCGCTGATCTCGATATCTTCCTCCACAAGATGGCCACCATCGAGAACGCTCACCCAGGGCTGACTCATTTGAAGCAGGAAGTGCAATTCTGGAAGTCCAAGTTTGAGGAACTGACGTCGCACCAGCTTATGACTCAATACCTGGGTCAATTAAGCGAAAAGTCCATGGCTCCTTTGGTGCTGCCTACGGGCCATGTGTCCCTCCAGCTTGTGGCTGACTGCCACGCTCTCGTCGAGCTGTTCTTTGCCCTTACTGGCCGTGACCACTTGGAAATCGACCCGCTTTTCGAAACTGTGGCTAAAGTGTCGGTATTGGCTCTGGAGATTGCTGGCCAAGCGGAACAGGGCCTGGACCATAAACTTGAAATGAGTAACGCTGTGAGAGAGCTGCTGGCGTTTGTGCTTACCGCTACTCGTTATTTCGCTGTCTACCCTAAATTGATCCCTAAAGTGATTGTGGAACGGGCGATGCTGTCAGTGGTGTTCACTGTGTGTGACTTGGTGCTGATGGCGAAATTGAGAACCGGTGGTTCTGCTGGTGACCGTCTGGTAGCTCCCGTGACCTCCAAATCGACTAACAACAATGCTGCTACTGCTGGGTCATCCTCACTGGAAGACTTTGGCGCCAAGCCATTGAAGATCGGTAACCCTCATGAGCCTCGCGTGATTACTCAAACCATTCCTCACCCGAGAAAGCCGCTGGAACTGAAGAAGCCTGAGCTGCCGCAAATGGTCAACAAACCCCTCCCCAAGGCCCCGCTGACTCCCGTCACACCCATCAGCCAAACCCTGTACGATGCTACTACCAATGATCAACCGGTTCAGCCGCAACTGCGTGATACGTCAGTCGATATCCCTCGGGATACGTCCTCACGCTCGCTTCATTCGGCGACTTCTGCTTCAGAACAGTTTGCCCCTCCTTTACTCCGCAAATCGCTGCTGTCGCTGCTTAAACTGAACGACCTGAACCTGCTGCAAAAGCTGGGCCTCTTGCTGATGTTTAAGCGGGTGGTTTCGGGGTCAAACAAGGACACCAACGGTGATGCTAACGAACAGCTGGACCTGGCCCTGATTCATCTGGACCAACAACTGAGTCTTCTGGTCGATCAAGGTCAACAAAAGCAGAACCGCAAGCTGATCCAGATCCGCAACCTCGACCTGATGCCGGCGCGGACAATGCTGATCAAGGACTTGGACCGCGCCAACGAAATGGTGGCTCGCGGCCTTGACTTTGTTGGTGAAGACGATGGTGAAGTCGACGACGGCGACGTTGTTGACCCTGATCTGCTTGACGAAGAGCCGTTGGAACACCTGACGTTCGACACCGATCTGCCCCTGCTGACGGCACACACTCTGCCTCAAAACCCTCATAACCAACCGCTGGCCGCTGTTGAAAAGCCGAATGGTCATCACGGTGTTGACGGTAGTAGTCCCGATGAAGACGTGTCGGAGACTGTCGATAAGCTGTTGTTTAGCGATGCCCCTAAGCGCCACTCTGTTTACCTGAACGATGACGAAGCTGAAGTACCCGCCTTATCTAAGCAGATCCTCAATGACGACGACGACGACGATGAAGATGTTGATGTGCCGGTGACCCGCAAACAGGTGAAGATTGCCGAGCCCGTGGATGCCTACTCTGAGCTGGACCTGGAGTACGACCAACAGGCTCCGCTTAAGAAGGAGGAGGAAAAGAAACAGGTGAAGAAGGCACCGGCCCCCATTGTTATGAGCAAAGTGAGGGAACGGGCGCTGGCGTTTGAACGTGGTCACAACGAGAACGACGAAGCTAAGCGGTTGAGACAACAACAAGTCCGTGAACGGGAAGCTCTGCGTCAACGTGAAGCTCTGGTCAAAGCGCAACAGGCCCTAGTTGATGACTCTCCGCAATCACCCGAGCAAACGACGATGGCTAAGCGGTTACTGGACCCTAAAGTCACCGTCGCCAAGTTCCAAGAAGAGGTCAAGAGAGTTCTGCTGAATGGTCCTGCCACTGCTACTCCCAATGGCACCCTGATCGTTGAAAAGGAGAGGGCTAAATTAGCTCAATTGGAAGCTGATCGTCTTGACGCTGAACGGAAGGAAGCCGAACGGAAACAAAAGCAACGTGAGATCCAAGAACGGGAACGCCAAGAGGCTCAACAACGTGAAGCTGAACGCCGAGAAGCTGAGGAGCACGCCGAGCGTACGGCTGCCGATCGCCTGATCACCGCTAGCCCCAGTGAGGAGGCAGAACTGGTAGCAGTGCCCGCTCAAGCGAAACTGGTGACGATGGTGCTGCCAGCAACGCTGCCGATCCTTAAAAAGCTGGGTGCAATGGGTGTCGTCGGTGGTCCCAAAAAGCTGGTAAAAATCGCCCCTCTGAGTGCCTCTGAAGACGAAAGCGACGACACTGATGTTGACGATGCTGCCACCGAAAACGACGAGGAAGACGAGCTGCTGGAAGAAGAAGATGACGAAGAAGACGACGACGACGACAACGAGCTGCTGGAGGAGGAAGAGGACGACGACCCTGAAAAAAAGGGAGTCAACGCTCAGGCTCGCCAGCGGCAAGAGTACCGTAAGCTGATGGCTGCGGCGACGTTCAACGTCGAGCACTTCGACATCGACGACCCCGACAATTCGTTGACCCAAGTGTTGCTTTATCTTGAGCACCAGACAGTGCAGGTGATCAGCACCATCCAGCTGTTGTTGCAGGCGATCAAGAAGCCCGAGCTGACCCGGGGTGATTTGCGGCAGAAGCTGTTTGCCATTGCCGACGTGATCAACCAGATGACGGAGGCGACCAACACCCTGATGAACCAAACGCGGAACGCGCTGTTGAAGCAGCACGGCCAGTGGGTGGTGCGGCTGCTTGAGGACTGCGAGACGAGAATGAAGGCGTTGTGCAAGCCGCTGGCGGACAAATTGGACCTGGACTACGCCGACAAGAGCTTCAAGCAGCGGTTGGCGGGGATCTCGTTCGACATTGCCAAGTGCACTAAAGAGTTGGTGAAGACGGTGGAAGAAGCGAGTTTGAAGGAAGACATCGAGTACCTTAACCGTCGCCTTAAGGACGAGTAAATAGCGACAATCATACGAATCATGGAAATTAGTGTAAGGAAGTTCTATAATAGACATGACAGATAAACTGAATAAGTATAGATATCATTTCATGGAAGCGTCTAATTTTCCTTTCAATGTAGAGCTACGATTTCTCACAAGTTATTGGTACCTGTGATACCATTTTGAACGTAGTGAAGATAGATTTACCGGGTTAATTGGAGTACATTCAGGAATTTGTTTGAAACTTCTAGTACGTCGTCATTATGGTCTACAGAGTGATTCTTTCTGATGGTGTTCAAATACAGTAATCAGCTTCCTCACGGAGTACCGCTCCAGTTAAAATCACAAGCCAAAATAAACTAATGAGGGATCACCCATTTACTTGAAACACAATGGAAGGTACAGTCTCTAACAAGAACAAAACAAAACTTTATCCCCCAAAATCGACCGGTTGCTATCGTTATCCTGTTTATTTAGTTTTATCATTATCATGTGAGAGGATGTCAGTCCTGCACACAACCGCGCGAGTCCGAATCACCCTCGTCTGTCTAGCGCCTCACCCTCCACGCTCGTGTGGCGTTACAAAACCTCTGCTCATTTCCGTTATCACACACTCACACGCGTGGGCTGATATTTGACTTGATATTCGTTGGTGTCAGCTTATCTGGTTCCCCCTGTGCTACCCAGCGTCCACCTCAAACCTTCCGCGTGACCGAGAAATACATTCCCATATTTTGAGTCCTATACATCCCTGAGTTTTCGTTCATGGTGGCGGATACCGAGTACTACGACCTCCTCGAGCTTGACTCGCTGGCGACGCTGCTTGAGATCAAGCGGGCCTACCGCAAGCTCGCCATCAGGCTCCACCCGGATAAGAACCCCGACGACCCCGATCTGGAGGAGAAGTTCAAACGAGTGGGCGAGGCGTACCAAGTATTAAGCGATGACCAGTTGCGCAGCAAGTACGACAAGTACGGCAAGCAGGAGCTGGTTCCGAGCAACGGGTTTGAAGATCCCGCCGAGTTCTTCAATATGATTTTCGGGGGCGAAGCGTTTGGCGACTGGATTGGCGAGCTTCTGTTGCTCCAGGAATTGACCAAGAGTGCCGAGTTACAGAGTATGGATGACGATGGTGAAGGTAAAGAAGGTAAAGAAGGCGAAGCCCGGCTTTTAGGGGAGACGAGTATCGATGAAAAGGAAAAGCGCAAACATGATTTGGAGAAGTTTGAGGCGGAATGCGCTCAGAAGAAGGAGGAACTGAGACAACAGTTACAGGAGAAGTTGGTCAACCGCCTCTCGTTATTGACGGAAACGGATATGGCCGATGATGTGGTGGAACTGTTCCGGGAGAAAATGCGGTATGAGGCCGATATGCTTAAAATGGAGCTGTTTGGGCTTGAGATTCTCCATACGTTAGGGGAGATTTACCGTACCAAACTGAGAATTTTCCTTAAAAACCAGACATTCTTTGGTTGGGGTGGGTTTTTCCACTCGTTGGGTGAAAAAGGCGGTGTGGTCAAAGATACGTTTTCCGCGGTGACTCTGGCGTTGGACGCTCAGAGAACGATGGCGGAGTACACGAAGATGCAGGAGGATAACGAGTACCACGCCAAGAAGGAGGCTGAAGCTGAAGGGAAGACCACCGAAGATGCTACTACTGAAGGTGAAACTGCCTCTGAGACTACCAATGATGCTGCCGCTGACTCGACAAAGCCTGAACCTGAGACTACCACCTCCCATACTACTGCTTATGAGCCTGATTTACTGTCTCCTCCTCCTTCCACTTCCACTTCCACTTCTACCAAAAAGGGGAAGCCCGAGCCGGTACCGGAGAAGCACACCCAGGAAGAGCTCCAGGAAATGGAACAGTACTTGATGGGCAAAGTGCTTGCCGCCGCCTGGGGTGGCACCAAATTTGAGATTCAGGGGACCGCTAGAGGTATTTGCGATAATATCCTCGACGATAAGCTGGTTCCGCTTGAACTGCGGATCGCCCGGGCCAAAGCACTTAGAATCATTGGCGATGTGTTTTTGCTGACGCTGAGAACGGAAGCCGAGGCGGAAGAAGCCCGGGTGTTTGAAGAGTTGGTGGCGAAAGCCGGTAAGAAGCGGGAGAAGAAAAAGAAGGCTAAGCCCGACACCGAAGAAACGGCTGCGTGATCTTCTTTCTTTTTTACTTTCACCAAATATACACCCTTTCTAGAACCTCTTATAAATAGCTAATGTACACTAACCATAAGGCTAACTCCCTTCCAAGGTGAACTACCCCACCATTTATCGCTTCTCCTGATGCTCTATATATTGTAGAAATATCAGAGGTTCACATTAACCAGTCTAATGAAACGAGAGTGACGTTTTCTAGTTTATATTGGTCTCCGATAATATGTTCATTTTCAACCAATTTCTCACAAATAGATGTTAATATGCGAAATTGTAATAAAACCCCAATTTACCCCAAAATTAATAATAGCGATATTTGATGGCTTACTTTTACTCAATCCCATCTAGACTAAGACTTTATGGTTTAGCTTGTCTCCAAATTTGCTCTATAACTCCAATTGATCCCCCCGTGTCTCATCGCGCTATGGACGACTCGTTCGAGGCGATTGACGATGACTCGTTTATTGCCGACGAGCCGCTACCGAAACGGAGGAAAGTCTTTCCGAAAACTACCCGTCCCTGGGTCGACAAATATGTCCCGGTCCAGGCGGGAGACCTCGCGGTGAACCCTTCAAAAGTCAAGCAAGTGGAGACGGCGATGCGGGAAATGCCGCTGAAAAACCAACGGATCTTGGTGCTAAGCGGTCCTGCTGGTAGTGGCAAACTGGCGACCATTGAGTATTTAGCCAAACACCGCTTCCAGTTGCCGATAGTGGAGTTCTTTGAGCAGAAAGGTACCCTTGATGAATTTGAGAATTTCTTGCTTCAATGCCGGTTCCGTCGAGGTGCCAATAAAGCGGTGATTGTTGTCGAAGAGTTCCCCAACGTGTTTTATCCGGAAACGATGATTCGCTTCCGTAATGCCCTTAATGATTGGTTACACGTTGATATGGGAACCGAGGGACCGAGCCTCCCATTACTCGTGCTAGTGGTGTCAGAACTGGAGTACGGCACTGCTGGGGTGTACCTGATTGACCAGATGTTTACTCCATACACGTTATTAGGGCGAGAGCTTCTCCATCTGCCTCGAGTGGTCCAGATAAAGTTTAACGCTGTTGCCGCTCGTTATGCCAATAAACTCGTAAATCGAGTGGTGCAAAATGAACTGGAAGCGTTTAGATCTATTCCAGGCTCAGTGGTGACTCAATTCTGTCAGCAATTGATTAAAACCGGTGATATTCGCAGTATGTTGGCTAACCTCGAAACATGGACTTCCTTAACGGAAATCACCCTCCCGCAACGCCAAACGGTTAAACTCAATAGAGAAGAGGAGCCGCTTAACCTTGACTTGACGCTGATGTTTATTCGAGAGAATCTGTTGAGTATATTCCACGCTGTGGGGAAAATCATCTTTGGCAGCTCAGCGCTGGACGGATTCACTGATGATACCAAGTTACACGATTTCTTTAGTGTCGAACAAGTGTTGGCCAATTTTTCTGATGATTTGAACGTGGTTAGTCTTGGCGTGGTCGACAATTTCGATATTTATCGTCTGGGAAATTATGACGTTAAACTTGGTGCCGAGCTATTAGACTATTTACTGATGGCAGACCAACTTGGGAAAGTGCCCTGGGTATCTCGTGAGTTGGGTTTACGAGGTGCGAGAGCCCTGTTGGCCAAAGCCGGGGAATCAGGCTCATCTCGTGGGGGTAGTGGGGGCCACCATCGGATGGCATTCCCCGCTCACCTGCGAATTAAACGTCTAAGCCACCAGTGTCGCGATCAGTTATGGCAATACCAATGGTATGGGCGTCCCTTAAAGCTGGGGGCAGGACTCGTTAGTCTCCAACAGCTTAATTTAGTCGATGGTCCTTTGGTGGGAGAAATCCTAAATAGGAAGTTTCCTCAGGATAAAATTTATGGGAGAATTGGGGGAAGGCTACGTACAGTGACATTACTGAGTGATATCGACACTGGCGACGTTGGGGACCCGTCGAAACAGGTGGACCAGTTTGTCGTCGATTGCGAGCGAGCCATGGCCTTAGCCGCACGTGATGACACCACTGTGGGTGGGGATAGTGACGACGATGATGCCCAATTAAGTGATCCCATTAGTGACGTTGAGAGTGAAGACGATTTCGACTTTAGTGACGATGACGATGAGCTATTGGCCCTAGTGTAAATAGCCAATCGTGGGGTGAGTGCAGGCACTCAAATAGAAAGATTATATAGATACACATAGACGAAACTCATACAAATGAGTTTGTAGCCAACACGATGGTGGTTTTTATAGACGATGGTCATGGCTTTTAAAATGTAAAAGTGGGAATATCACAATATACTCCTCATCTATACCGTGTTTTATCAGAATCGACAGGTCGTTTGGACACCCCTGGGTCCTACGAAAATTACCTACACTTCAAGGTACACTACATTTAAAGTTTGTGGGGTTTATGGGGCTTCCTTGTATCCGTTGGTGTGAACCGAGGCCCTTCCACGTGTGTGGGTGTCACGTGCGACCGTGGCCTGGTGCCGGCAGTGGCCATCGGCGCCGGGAGGTCCGCTATCCAGCTAATTAGCGCGGGCAACCGTGACGTCATAGACGACGGGACGTATTACTGATATTTACCAGTAAACGGCGATCAATGGAAACACGAGTACCACCACTGAAACCACCACCTTTTATTGACTAAGTTTACTCATTTCCTCTTTCCCCATTGCCCCTGGTTACCCCATTTTTCGCGCCCGTCAATTATTGTGCTCCGATCTGATCCGCGCTCTTGGTAGTCAGCGGTTAAACCCCTCAATTTCACCAGACAACCCCCCAGTGGTTCCGAAACTGCCGGACGCCAGGGCACGAGCCATGGAGCTCCAAACGTCTAACTAAACACACCACTAGCACTACAAAGGGACTACCATTGATGCCTATGCTCTTCTGCTAGTGTGCCAATTGGCCATTGTCGTCTAACCCTCCCATCTATTGGCGGTGCGCCTCCGCCAATCACCGGTCGGAGCCGATGGCGCGGGCTCCGAAAATCTCACCCGCCAGCCATATAAAAGCTCGCGGTGCCAGCCCGCAAAATTTCACTTTTCCCAACCGCACACATGCTCTCCAAGGTTGCCACCAGACAGTTCTCCAAGTCCGCCTCCACCGCCTACAAGGTGGCCGTGCTCGGCGCCGGCGGTGGTATCGGTCAACCGCTCTCGTTGTTGATGAAGTTGAACCCCAAGGTGACCGACTTGGCCCTTTACGACATCAAGGGCGCCCCCGGTGTCGGCGCCGACGTGTCGCACGTGCCCACCAACTCCACCGTCAAGGGGTACAACCCCGACGCCATCGACCAGGCGCTTAAGGGCTCCGACGTCGTCATCATCCCCGCCGGGGTCCCGAGAAAGCCCGGTATGACCAGAGACGACTTGTTCAACACCAACGCCTCCATCGTCAGAGACTTGGCCAAGGCCGCCGCCGAACACTGCCCCAAGGCCGCCATTTTGATCATCTCCAACCCCGTCAACTCCACCGTGCCCATTGTCGCCGAAGTGTTCAAGAACGCCGGTGTCTACGACCCTAAGAAGTTGTTCGGTGTCACCACTTTGGACGTGTTGAGAGCCCTGAGATTCATCTCCGAAGTCGAAGGCACTAACCCCGTCGACGAAAAGGTCACCGTCGTCGGTGGCCACTCCGGTATCACCATCGTCCCCTTGATCTCGCAAACCAAGCACAAGAACATGGCCAAGGACAAGAGAGACGCCTTGATCCACCGTATCCAATTCGGCGGTGACGAAGTCGTCAAGGCCAAGGACGGTGCTGGTTCCGCCACCTTGTCGATGGCCCAAGCCGGTGCCAGAATGGCCGGGTCGGTGTTGAACGGTTTGGCCGGCGAACACGACGTCATCGAACCCACTTTCGTCGACTCGCCCTTGTTCAAGTCCGAAGGCGTCGAATTCTTCTCGCTGAAGGTCACTTTGGGCCCCCAAGGTGTCGCCAAGATCCACGACTTGGGTGAATTGGCCGACTACGAAGAAGAAATGGTCAAGACCGCCAAGGAAACCTTGATCAAGAACATCCAAAAGGGTCAAGACTTCGTTAAGCAAAACCCTTAATGATGCTATGTAAATAAACGACTGATGAAAAGTAATCGACATTGTATTAAAAATTGTAAACTAGCACTATCTACAAATCAATTGACCAGGTGGAACAGGCAATCCCCTATCAATTGAGTATTCCCTGAATGACGATACATTTCGTCCGTTAAGTTTGGTGTTGATCTGAGTGACTTGAAAGGTTTGGGCCAAATCATCTACGATACGCTGTGATGATCTATAATTGGTCAAAGCTTGACAGTTTGTCTGCCAATTTTTACAATTGAGCTAAAGTCAATTGCCATTGTAGCCAATTAAGTCCTAGCCATTGATTTCCATTCCAAGCAGTCCCTTTAATCATGAGGTAAATACGGTCACGTAAATACGTGGCCACGCGCACGTAAACTTTCAACGGCTCAGATGTAAATGCTCATGCAATTTGGACGTGGCGTTTTTTTTTCTTTTATTTTTCACAGGTAGCAGCTAATTTCAAGCCTTTAGCAACTGTGAGCGAGTGAAAAAATTTATGGTACGAGTAGCCAACCGCTAAGAAAATTGATCCACCAATCAGAAAGTTGACATCAAATACAGCTATACGTTGGCCGTGAAATGAGTATATCTGGTTGATTTACAAGATCACGTGATTATTTAGAAACATATCAGTTACCACGCCATGTCGTCGCTGGTGTCGCTGGCGGTGCCCCGATGTCGTTCGGAGGTAGTCGGGCCGGCCACTCGCGCCGAGCACACACGTTAGTCGGGGTTGAGTAGTGTATGGAGTCACCGTGGCCGCGGCTTATATCCGTGATCACTGGTCGTACCATTTCTTGCGAAGGGCTATATAGCCCCAACATTTGAAGTCAGAGCTAAGGTTATTAATAGCAACCTGAAACTAAGAATAGCCCGTGGTTCCCAGGTGCTGATAGCTAAAATTTTCATTTAAATTGGTCGCACTGTGGGGAGGGCTGCGGGTTTTTGACATGAGCGTCTACCATGTACTCATTGCCGGCGGTGGACGATCGAATAGGGAAAGGTGCGAAAAACGGGGGTATACCCACCAGAAAAAACCGCAATCACGACCACTGGCTCGGGAAAGATTGCTATGTTATTAGTGCTTCACATGTCTGGGGTGTACGTATTGTCTTAGACCTAAGAAATATGTAAGCGTCGCTGGTGTGAGCCCGGAAATCTGCCCCAGTGGGTGTTCGGAACCGGACCTGCCGAAACCGAGCGCTTATTTGTCACTAAAGGTTGCTGCGAGACCCTGGGCAACAAAAACACGGGGTCTGGCGGCAAGACAGGCACCCCCCGGGATGGAGGGAGGGGGTGTAACCGCAATGGAAAAGCGTTTTCGAGGCCGAAAAAGGGGGTCGTGTCCCTTGACAAACGGCAATAGTAACTAGAGAAATTTTTCCTGGGCAAAGGAGGCTGGGGCAAAAATCGGAGGCTACCTTGACTAAGTGCAGGCCGACACCCGCTTGTCGCCGAGAGCTAGCGAGCCCAGGGGTCCCATGGCTCAAGGAAGAAACAATAGCCACAAGATAACAAACCAACCTTACTCTTTTTACAAATTTCTCGCCCTCAATTAGTTTAGCCAGCATTTTCTTAATATTGTAATTACTAGCATTTCGCCTTTAAGTGGTGGTGGCTTGGTTTGTCAGCAGATCGTGGCGGTGTCCGTTTTCCCAGCCTGGGTATCCCGCGCAAAAAACGTCTTTATTCAGGTGTGAGAACCCTAATCAGAAATTACCACCCGACCCAATCTCAACGAAGCTTGAGGTTTTCCATGGGGTGTAACTCCACACCCCATGAACTCCCCCTCAATAAAACACTAATCCAAACAGTCTCAAACTCCTCTAACATCATCAAAACCACCAATTACTAAAAAGTCTACCACCATTTGTAACCTGGTTTTTTTTTCCACAGCAAAGTCTGCACAAAAAAATATCCTTTTTGCACGGCCCAGTTTTTCCATCCCCGGAGACACTCGCTCGCGCTCTCTCGCGCTCGCTCGCTCACTCTCGCCGCGAACCTCCACCTCACACCGCCGCCCGATTCTCGAGGACAAACCACGAACCAGCCTTCCCCCCCCTAAAAGCCAGCGCTCGAGACGTGTTTTTCTTTTTGAGACCCCCAGGAGTGTTTATAGAGGGTGTGTTCTTGTGCCAGAGACTACGTGCCGTCGTTTCCTCGCCTCCCCCATCCCGATATATACCCC